CAAGCTGTATCTTACAGTGGAAGACATGCGTCACACTACAGACTTCTGAGGTCTGTGGCCTTCTCATCTGAAAACCACTGGCGGAAAAAAAAACAAGAAGTGCATGTTTTACTATCAGAGTGATCTGCTGCACACTGCTAAAGTGTAGAGTTCAGTGCCCAGAAGTTACTGATTTAAGAATCAATATCATAACCTTGTGGTCTCGAGGCATGACGTCCATCTCGAGTGCTGGAGGTCCCGGGTTCAATGAAGGCTGGGATTTTTCCACATGGACTTCTAGTAATTTCCTGCTGGTCTCTGGGTAGTCAGATTGGACGCTCGTGTGTATTGCTGGGTACATTTAAATAAAATCCCATGGCAGTTGGAAATTGGCAATTTGGAGTTAAAAATCTGCCTAAAAGTATTTCACGTCAGTTTTACTTCTTCTTCTTCTTCTTCTTCTTCTTCTTCTTCTTCTTCTTCTTCTTCTTCTTCTTCTTCTTCTTCTTCTTCTTCTTCTTCTTCTTCTTCTTCTTCTTCTTCTTCGTATTATTATTATTCTTCCCCCGCCTCTTGCCCCTCCTCCCTTCTAACCCCAAATGGAGCATAGGCACTCAACCAATTCACGTCACTTCGCTGTATCCTTCCCTGTCGCATACAGCTCTTCCAATGTCCTCCCCATCTTTTTAACTTTACTCTCTAGTTCTCTTCTCCGTGCGTTTTTTGGTCTGCCTTTATTTTAATGCCCTTGTGGGTTCCAGCGCAAAGACATTCTAGTTACACGGTTACGAGTAGATTATTAGCCTGTTCACCATTTGCAAACTGCAGCGGCAAACCCTGATTGTTTGCCCACTTCTGGTTTTGGTTTGGTTGCAGGACTTGAGTTTTGCGCGCGCATTCATTTTACAGATCTCAGGCAGATGCTCTTAGACTTCGAAGGAAACATCCGTTCATGACATGAGAACACCACATAAGAGGGAAAAGATTTGAGAACGTGGTAACGACTGGCAAGACATGAGAACACCACATGAGAGGGAATAGATTTGAGAACGTGGTAACAGCTGGCAAGAGATGAGAACACCACATGAGAGGGAAAAGATTTGAGAACGTGGTAACAGCTGACAAGATATGAGAACACCACATGAGAGGGAAAAGATTTTAGAACGTGGTAACAACTGGCAAAATTGTTTCAAAGAGAGCAAGAAGAAGGCGAAGAGACAAACACTTGAATGGCCTGGCGGCATGGATAGGGGCGAGACAAAAACATGGACATGATTCGTGATTCTGGTGATCGCGTGAGATGGTGAAACATGATAGCCTACGTTTATCGGCACGGCGCATGATTATGGAGGTAGTGGGTCTATTCTCCCACCCTCAGGCGCTTACTGTGGGATCTTGGAACCCACACGGAAAGTCTAGAAATGAAAAATAAAAAGGTTGCTGAAAAAAAATGAAAAAATAAAATAAAAAGACACGTTAAATATTTTGGCCACGTTACAAGACAAGACTCTTTAGAGAGTATACTGAAGCGAACAATAAGGCAATTGACGGACAGCGGTACAAGTGGGATGGTAACATGGACGAGCAACAGTGAGAGAGGTTACTTTCAGGACGAATGACGACCTAGTGGAGATCCACTGCCAACCTGCATTGCGGAGAGGGTACGTGATTGATAATCTTCGCAAGGTTGCCATCGTTAAAGCTTTTACGCTGACCTGTGAGCACAACATACTGTGGCTGAACGCTGAATTAAGAATTGACATAGCAGCCCTCGGGACATTCCCATAAGAACCCGTCCATATCTTCAGCAGCCAACGACGTCTTCCAGTTCCGATGGTACTAGTAACTGTCTGATGGTACATCCGTCTCGCCTTTCCCTTGAGCGTCGGTCAGTTCCTCCGGTAACTCCTCACAGCGTCATTCTCCTCAGACGAACGCAATGATCTGTTTGCACCTCCATACTTAACTCGCTTACCACATCTAGATTGTCATGCAGCAATGCAACACCAAGTGGTGGGGAACCAGTCAGTCCATCAACACAGTGATGTTGTTGTTCGTCCGTCACGAGTGATGAAGACCACTTTCATCTAAAGTAGTAGCTGAATGAAAGTGACTTCCACAAGGACTTGAATTTAAGTGAGGAGGAGTTGGGCAATTTGTCGACCTCACTCTCCATCTTGATCCAATGGCAGGACAATGTCGAGAAGATTGGAAAATGGACCTAGGTGCAGTGGATGACCCAATCGCTTTAAGTGCCCTGCCTAGCTCGAAGCTCTCCACAAATCCAGCTGGTAATCGCCTTCTTGTCAACACAGTGATAATGTGGTAAAAACAAGCTTGTTGTGAGCTTCGTCATTAGTTTGTGTGGTCAAGGGGAAGATCGCCATTAGATACTTTGGCGGTGAACAAAAAATGACAGGAAATATATTTGGAAATCATCACACACTTATGATATATTTCACAATACAGCAGTATAGTTTTATCAGAACAGTAAGTAGTATTTATATTTGTGAGAAACGTAGTAACAGGGATTGGTTGGCACATACAAACACATAAAGTAGTTGATATAAAACTCGTCAAATACTTTGTGACAGGGCTTTTCTCCCCTCTCTAGTGTCCTTCCTATCTCTTTCTTCTTCTTCATCATCATCATCATCATCATTATCATCATCATCATCATCATAATCATCCCGTAAGTTCAAGGTGTCTCCTTCGTGCCAAAGAAGTGCATGGCTGTTGGGTGAACAGTCGTTAACGAAGGCAGTCAGGTCGTTGTAGGGGCGATGCTGCTAGTGTCCCTTCCCCAGCATATAGTGAGGGTACTGCTGGAGTGATCGTTTATTAACCTTCACATAATGCTTCAGATCAAAATGGACGCTAGGCACGGCCACTTCGTTTAGCCGTGGCAAATTTGTTTGCTTCTGCCAGACGGTGGCCGTTGCATTTTTGCTCCATTTGTAGACTGGAAGGATATAGTTTCGTTGCCCACCTTCTGAGTTAAGGGCATAGTGTGACACTGTGAGCTGCGGATTTCATTTGAACTGTGATAAACGTTTTGTGTTTTTCGTTGGCACAGGAGCGAAGTAACTATGGGGGTGACCCGTTTGCTATGAAGCTGAAACTAAGATTACCAGATTACCAGATTACCAGATCCTGTCACAGCGCGCTTCGTTGGGCCATCAGTTGGTGTTGACTGATCAGCTCCCTCTACCTTTGATGACCAGACGCAATGGATTTGATGGTTGTATGTCTTAAGCCTTCGGTACCCAGGTCTTTCTTGGTCTCCCTCTTCTCCTCTTTCCCTCTACTGAGCCCTGTAGTGTTATTTTTTTTAGAGGCCCTTAGATCTTATCAATACATATCTGTGTGTGCCGGCGTCTGTGGAATAGGCGTTGCGAACACGCTTTGTAATGCCGGGGTGCCGAGTTCGATCCAAGCTGCGGGCCTTGCGTTGGTTTCGACAGTGGTATCGAGAAGTCGACCGCTCAGAAAGCAATGGCAAACGACTGGACGTAAATTTGACTAGAAAAACCACAACAGCCAAAAAATTATGGAGTTGGTTCTGCAAAGTCCTGTAAAGAATACGCAACTAACTAGCATGTCCGTTCCACTGAATTTTCTGCTTTTCACAGTTATTAAAACAGGTTCGTAGTTGACAATAATCTCTTTTATATACATCGCTAATTCTAATTTTAAGACAAGCAAGCAAGTCAGGGATCCAGACTCCCTTCAGCTTTCTCCTCCAGCTCTGTGGGTCGATTATTTCTTGTTTTCTTAGATTTGTTTTTCTTTGGATTTTGCGACTAAAACTTTTTTGCTAGATGACATAGTCGACTCCGAGCACCGCATTCCCTTAGACATGCCTGTTAGAGAGAAAAGCTACCAGAACTAGTCAACGTTCTCAACCTATTGGGCGCTAACGGCTTTTCAAGCGGAGCGACAAGAAATTTTAAAAATTGAGTCCATTTGTACTTTTAATTTAATGGTTTACTAGTCACTGCTATTAAATCCTGCTCCGGTGATCATACCAGCCGCTATTCATTAGAAAATCGTTTTATCAATAGCTTTGGCGTTCTTAGTCCTGGAGGGATCAATATTCAAAACAGCTTTGTTTAATCAAATTTTTTTCACTTGTTCATTTATTTAACTTTTTCATATTTCTTAACTTCTTCTCAAATATACCTTATTCCTGATTTCGTTTCCTATTATAGCCTTAATATTTATACTTTTCCCCCATTACGTACTACTTGGTTTCATGTTGACCTGGTTTAAAAAAAAAATTAGTTCTGTTGTCTTGCCCGTTGAGTTTTCTAGTCAGAGTTTGTGCTGGATTTAGTACCCAGTTGATAAAGACTTTGGTCGAAACGTTGTGTTTGTGTGCGTCTTTCCCTCATGTTGAACTTTCTAGTGAAATTTTGTGTTATATTTAGCAATTGTTCTTTTAATAATCTGTTACACCACCCCCTTAACCCCCCCCCCCCCACCCCCGTTTTACTATAAATGAAATAGCTTTTCAAAGTTATTTATAAAACAAAGAAAAACCAATGACGTCTTGCCATATGTTACAAAAAAGGGGGCGGGGGCAGATTGAAAAGGTTGAAAACCACTGCCCTAAATGCCTAATAAGAGTATAAAGGGGAGAAGATCTACTACATTGTGCTGGGTTTATCCAATATAGCCTGACATCTCTCTACAGAACAGTGTGCGTCGCACACATCACGAACTCCAAAACTCCAGCGACGATTCTTACGAATGTTAAGAAAAAGTGCACTTGTTAACCGAATGACGCAGTCGTGAAGCGAATTCACGACCTTCAGGACGGGTTGACTACTTCGCCACAGAGACCCCCCCCCCCCCCCCCCCCCCAAAAAAAAAAATACAAACGCACACACACAAACACACACATATAGAGAGAGAGAGAGAGAGAGAAAGAGAGTTGAACAGAAAACTTATCTTGATTAACAACGAAAACCAATTTTGGCAGTCTCTCTTGCATTAGACATTAGACAACACAAGCCAGGATGGAGCCGTCTGCAGAACTGTGTGTCGTGTTTCTGGCCGTGCTCCTGGCCAGCGTTATTCTCCCCATGTACAGCGTTGACGAGACCAACTTCCTGACTGCCAGAAGTGCGCTGATTAAGTCAGAGAACTGTGCTCGATTGGGCAGTAACGTAAAGCTGGACACGAATGAGAAGATGGTCAGTAGCTTTCTGCTGATGGTAAGTACGTAAGATGATACCAATGTTTCCGTGTTGCTGCTGCCCTCCTCCTCTTTTTCCTTATTCTCCTCTGTCCTCTCCTTTAATCTTCTTCTTCTGCATCCGAAGATGTAATTGTGGTCTGTTTACAGCCCAATCAGGCTGGTCCAGAGAAGCATTGTTTTGTGTGGTCATCACATCAATGCTGATCAGCCCTCAAGAGAAGGCAGGGGCATAACATGAGCATTCCCCGCCATCCAAGGAGGCTTCCACAAATGCAGAGCTAGTACATGGTGCTCTGGTACTGGGCTCACCCAAGGAATCGTCACATCCTGCTCATGACTGTTTAACCTCACTTTCATATATTTAACATCTCATACATCAAGGGCTATCTCTTTTGTAGCCAACAGTATGCAGCCTGCAGACCTGGGATTTCATTTACCTACACCACAGCCCGGCTCTCTAGCGTAGTTGGCTAAACCGGATTGCGCATAGACCGAGTGACGAACTCCTTGTGGTCTGGGTTCACTTCCGGGGGTAGGCAGAAAAGCCACATTTCTCCCAGATTTACGTTATTTACAATGGAATCAAGGCCGAAAGGTTGCGATATCCATAATACCGAGCCTACGGGTTAACAACTCATGGCTTCTGGATACCAAAACAAACAAACAAACAAACCTACACCACAACATGACTCTCATACAATCGATAACTGTGAGGCCTAGAAGCAGAGCGGGACACTTATAGGTTACTACCCGTGTGCCATAGTGTTGATCCGTTGTTTAAAAAAACCCTAATAATTGAAATTGTGTTTAGTTTTTGATTAATCTCCGCGAGTGTTTCCTCCCTACATTCTTGATCAGGAAAAACAGAAAGTCATAAATGCCGCCCGCTTGAACAGATCCATCTACATGCCTGCAGCCAGTTTTTTCCTGTCTAAGAGATGGATGCAGAACACTCCAGTTTTCAAGATTATTAGCAAAATGCCAAAAGGTAGCTTACCCTTCTGTTGTGATGTGAAATGTAACTTTGCGTAATGTTAATTTAACTGACAAGATACATGTGAACTAAGATACTTTCATAGTTATACCTTTGTGATCCTGCGATACTGCCAGAACTGCCAATAACTGCCTTTATTATAACACTTTTGCGTTATAGGTGGGGAGGGAAACAAATGGGGGAGGGGAGGGGGGGGGGGTGTCTTTGAGCCTGAGGCTTTAGGGCCGCATGGCTAGTACTGTCGCCATGGACTGTGCAGCTGTAGATTTTATTGTTGTCTCCGACAGAAGAAAAAACTCCTTAACCTTACCTAGGAAATGCTATTAATATGTTACTAATACTTTATATAGGTATTTACTGTTTTTTGTTTGTTTGTTTGTTAAATAATTGTATGTGTTGGAAATGTGTTCTGTCTACATCAGTGAACTACGTTAAGATTTACTTGCTACACTGTACACTTGTGCGGCTACAAACGTTAGTTCTATACTTTACTGTCTGTCGTGAAATGATAGTCATTACACATCGGTTTGTAAGGCTGATAACCTGTCTTACCTGTAATCTGCACAAAATTCAAACTTGGACTCGCCCAGAAATATATAGTCCCTTATATCTATATATATAAGCCTGTATTGGACAACATTATTATGTCTGCCTTTTCTGGTTACTTTAACTAAACTACACTTTTAAATGTATATCTCTTGGGGGTATATTTAGGGAGTTAATTGAGGTTTCTTGGAAACCGATTTACTCCTTGCCCCAGTATACAAGGAACTTCTTTTGTACCAACGCCTGAAATGTCTAACTGACGCCATTCTCCTTGCCAGCTTCTCAAGCCTCCAGATGTGTTAATCTGTGCCTGTATACTTTAAATTTTCAAGGCATTCTGGAAAGGTCTCAGTTTTACATATGCTTGGGTAAGTTAATTATAGTTTACGAGTACCTAGAATGTTGTCTGTAAAGTAGTCACTGCTGTAGAGAAATCCATATCGGCTGTGTGATCTCACTTAGTTCTACCATTCTTGATCGCTAGAGTAGCGGATTCGAACGTAGATCTTCCACTGTACAGACTAAATAGCTTATGCCCTCAATAAACCACCCATACTGATAAACATTTAATGCCCTTACAATTGTGTACGTTTTAAACTACTTACAGAATCTGTACATACGAGATGGGGACAGAATTGGGTCAGGGCTGTGTTAATCAAAGTATGTGTGTGCTTGACCCAGATCAATGAGTGCTGGGGCGGTTGGGAAAACTAGTGAATGCAGGTACTGACAGTAAATATTGGTGTTTGTGTGCAGAGTGAGGGGGATAGGGAGAGTGATATATGGTTAGACCACTTTATCTATCTCCACTGTATATCTGACTTGCCTTCTCTTGCACTAAACAGACAGATAAATATAGGAGACTTATGTCTTTTGGTCTGGAGAGGCAATCTGAGGAATGAAACAGGAGAGCAGGGAGGAGTCAGCAGATGGGGGTTGATGACTGTGCTTGCTCTGTCTTTCCTGTCAAGATGTTACCCTCTTGATGATGACTAATGTTGAGTTATTTTCTTGACAGGATGTATATTTTCTGAAGAGCTGGCAGAAGATTCACAGTCTCAACAACATCCACTCACCAACATCCAACCACCAGAACCAACTTGTTACCCACCAGCTAACACCTGTGAAGGTTCCTGACATCTCCAAAAATGGGGGAGATTGTGCCTCAAACAGCTACCAGTGCCAGAGCTTAATGTGGCTCAAAGACATTGTGTGTCCTTACTGGTGATAAAGACTTGCTAGATACCGGTACAGTTGCTGTATAGTGAAGTACTCTTGCTACTTGATCCAGTGGAGCAGAATTCCCAGAGTCAAAGACAGTCAAATCATCCGGAGCTGAGGGAGGCATCATAGACAGAGATAAGAGAAGATAAGTCTAATGCTTCGCATGATGTTGTGTTCCTCACAGCTCCCTGTGTCCAGTGATGAAAAGATGTCATCTCCAAGGCCTTCTGTCTGTGTAGATCCTAGTGATTTGGACATGATTTCCTGAGATCTGGCAATTTGTCTCACTTTTATATATCTAATTTATATTGATTATATACATTCATTTTCATGGCTGACTTAGGTGTCTCTATTTCACCGTTTTTAAGTGTTTCACAGTTGTGTATGTATGTGTATCTTCTTTATATGTGTTAACATGGTTATGATAATGAACTATCATAACCTGGGGGCTTTCTTTAGTAAGTAGTGGGGGTGTCCAGCCAAGTGTGCCTAGAAATATATATATATATATATATATATATATATATATATTGACATACTTGTAGTGCCAATACTTGAGTTGCCCTACTCCAGAGATAAGTTGATCGTATATTGGCCACGGGGAATCCCTTAGACCAATACGAGCCAAACGACTCAACAAAATTATCTCTGAGTGCTGCTGGTTCTGAAGGAGAAATCCTTACATTAGGCACGCGACAGGAGTGATATGGGACACTGTCTACCCTTTATTGCCTACACTTTATTGTCTACCCTTTATTGTCTACACTTTATTGTCAACGCTTTATTGTCTACACTTTATTGTCTACCCTTTATTGTCTACACTTTCTTGTCTAAACTTTATTGTCTACCCTTTATTGTCTACCCTTCATTGTCTACACTTTATGGTCTACACTTTATTGTCTACCGTTTATTGTCTACACTGTATTGTCTACCCTTTATTGTCTACACTTTATTGTCTACCTTTTATTGTCTACACTTTATTGTCTACCCTTTATTGTCTACACTTTATTGTCTACACTTTACTGTCTACACTTTATTGTCTACACTTTATTGTCTACACTTTATTGTCTACACTTTATTGTCTACACTCTACTGCCTACACTTTACTGTCTACACTTTATTGTCTAAACTTTATTGTCTACACTTTATTGTCTACACTTTACTGTCTACACTTTATTGTCTACCCTTTATTGTCTACACTTTCTTGTCTACCCTTTATTGTCTACCCTTCATTGTCTACACTTTATGGTCTACACTTTATTGTCTACCGTTTATTGTCTACACTGTATTGTCTACCCTTTATTGTCTACACTTTATTGTCTACCCTTTATTGTCTACACTTTATTGTCTACCCTTTATTGTCTACACTTTATTGTCTACACATTACTGTCTACACTTTATTGTCTACCCTTTATTGTCTACACTTTATTGTCTACCCTTTATTGTCTACACTTTATTGTCTACACTTTATTGTCTACACTTTATTGTCTACACTTTACTGTCTACACTCTACTGCCTATACTTTACTGTCTACACTTTATTGTCTACACTTTACTGTCTACACTCTACTGCCTACACTTTACTGTCTACACTTTATTGTCTAAACTTTATTGTCTACACTTTATTGTCTACACTTTACTGTCTACACTCTACTGCCAACACTTTACTGTCTACACTTTACTGTCTACACTTTACTGTCTTCACTTTATTGTCAACACTTTATTGTCTACACTTAACTGCCTACACTCTACTGCCTACACTTTATTGTCTACACTTTATTGTCAACACTTTATTGTCTACACTTAACTGCCTACACTCTACTGCCTACACTTTATTGTCTACACTTTATTGTCTACCGCGGAAATATCAAGCTCAACATCAGTGGTTCTCAAATTTCCTAATGCACCCACCCTTTAGTGTGGTTCATCACGATGTGGCGACCACCAGCCATACAGTTATTTTCGTGCTACGTCATAACTTCAATCAGTATGTGTTTACCGATGGTCTTTGGCGACCCTTGTGGAAGGGTCGTTCGACCCACAAAAGGGTGGCGAGCCACAGGTTAAGAACCGCTGCTCTATATTACTATAATTGTTTGTGAAAAGACGTGTCGATACGTGTCCTCCACTGCTGAAAAAGACATAGAGCACAGCTGGAGTTATGCTTGTAATGGTTTTGTGTTCTGTCTCTGTTTTCCTATGTATTAAAACTTATGGGACACTCTGGAGTAGGGCTTATATTAAATGCTCTTCAAAACAAAACAAAACAAAAATCATATTAAATGTAGGTACATCTAATGTGTTCAGGCCCATCTTGGTCAGCTCCGCCCATTTACGCACTATGCCACTTTTCATTTATACTTGGCCTCGTCAACTTTGCTGAAGGTTACAAGGGTGTCCCGGTCTACTATCTTGTTCGAAAAGCTGCGTTTTCCTCACCGACCGGTGATATCGCGTGGTGTATATTCCAGTGTATCAGCGCTTTTAACAGTCCCAAAACATACAGAACTGGCCCTAACACAAACTCCCTAAAAGAGTGCTGCAGCCTACGTCACACACATTCTCTTTCTCGGAATGAAAACGTAATTAGAAGACAACGGAGAAAGTTTTTCGAGCAATTTGTACACCGGGACATCCCTGTAATCTTAAGCAAAGTTCACGAGCCTGACCAAGCACCATTTAAAAGTGACCTAGTGTGTAAATAGGCGGAGCTCACCCAGATGGCCATGAAAACGTGAAATGTTTATAAATGTAATAAACAAACAGACAGTGTATCGATAAGCACTTATAGAAGGAAGTAGAAAGATAGAAGAACACACAAGACAACACAAAAATCGAAAGCTACAGTTACCGTGCCAGGAATCGAACCTGTTACCTACAACTGGGGTGTACGCCTCGCTATGAAAACAAGTGTACTAAGATATGTAACCAAGCACCCCCCCCCCCCTCTTCCAAGAAAAAAAGGCGTCTTCATTGGCCATGTCTATCCTACAGCTTGAAATCCACAACTATGAAATACGGACATAATTAATCTCAAACAATTTAAATGGCACCATACGTTACAGCAATTTATATTAACGAAGCATAGGTTGAATAACAAGCACAGCAACAATTTACAAGCACAGCAGACCGTAATGCTTTGTCTAGAATACATAAACACTTAAGAAAGGTAAAAAATCATGCTATTTGGGGTTGGGGTGTAGGGGGTGGGTTAGGAGAGAAGGGGGGGGGGTGTTGAGATGGGAGAGGGGTAATGTATTTTTAGGGGGAGGGGGACGATGCTATACCCGACTTACTGCTCCTGACTGTTAGATGAGCGGCTGGCCGAGTGGTAATAACCTCGGGCTCTCAAGGTGATTAAGAGTGTTTCTGTCGAGAACAAAATTAAACATCCTAGCTGCACAGTCCATGGCGACAACACTCGCCATGCGGTATTAAATTCTCAGGCTTACGATCACCTGTCTACACCGGCCTAAAAAAAGTTGTTAAAACAGACAGGAGAGACAGTTTGACAGTGACTGTTTCTGTGAGAAGTGTAGTCAGATAGTAGGGACAGTCTGACAGTGACTGTTTCTGTGAGAAGCGTAGTCAGACAGTAGTGACAGTTTGACAGTCACTGTTTCTGTGAGAAGTGTAGTCAGACAGTAGTGACAGTTTGACAGTGACTGTTTCTGTGAGAAGTGTAGTCAGATAGTAGTGACAGTTTGACAATGACTATTTCCGTGAGAAGTGTTATCAAACAGTAGTGACAGTTTGACAGTGACTGTTTCTGTGAGAAGTGTAGTCAGATAGTAGTGACAGTTTGACAATGACTATTTCTGTGAGAAGTGTTATCAAACAGTAGTGACAGTTTGACAGCGACTGTTTCTGTGAGAAGTGTAGTCAGACAGTAGTGACAGTTTGACAATGACTATTTCTGTGAGAAGTGTTATCAAACAGTAGTGACAGTTTGACAGTGACTGTTTCTGTGAGAAGTGTAGTCAGATAGTAGTGACAGTCTGACAGTGACTGTTTCTGTGAGAAGCGTAGTCAGACAGTAGTGACAGTTTGACAATGACTATTTCTGTGAGAAGTGTTATCAAACAGTAGTGACAGTTTGACAGTGACTGTTTCTGTTAGAAGTGTAGTCAGACAGTAGTGACAGTTTGACAATGACTGTTTTTGTGAGAAGTGTAGTCAGACAGTAGTGACAGTTTGACAATGACTGTTTTTGTGAGAAGTGTAGTCAGACAGTAGTGACAGTTTGACAATGACTGTTTTTGTGAGGGGTGTAGCCAGACAGTAGTGACAGTTTGACAGTGACTGTTTTTGTGAGAAGTGTAATCAGACAGTTTGAAAGTGACTGTTTCTGTGAGAAATGTAATCAGACAGTAGTGACAGTTTGACAGTGACTGTGTCTGTGAGAAGTGTAATCTACCATGCAGGGCTAGATTTAAAATTGATGACGCCCTGTGCTTTATAAAGCCCTGAGGCTCCTAACGTTTTAAATGACACCTGCTAATATCAGAAAAACCATAAGGGTCAGTTCTACTATAATCTCCCCACGTTACACACTAGCTCACTTTTGACTGGTCAACCTTCAATCACCCGACCTTCGCACACTGCTGGGAGGGGGGGGGGCGGTGTTAGGCAATACCGTTGATGTCGCGTGTTATATATTTAAGCACGCCGGCGCTTTTAACACTACAAAAACATTTAGAAACTGGGTCTAACACACAACCCCTCTAGAGAGTGCTGCAACATATGTCACAGCCTATATCTTTCTCGGGAAATAAAAGAACGTAAATCAAGACAAGCCAGAAAAGGAACCACCATAACCGCATCTCGTAAACCACCCCCCCCCCCCCCTCCGGACAGCAGAGTCTAAAAAATTTATGAATAGAACGTGACCTAGTTTCGGTGGAGAGATTATCGTGGAACTGACCAGTTTAAAATATATACGCCTTTAAAATATATGGATTATGGGCATAAACTATCATTTAGCTTTTTAGTAAAAGAATTATCTCGTCATCTTATCTTGATCCTCTGGTAGCTTGCAGTGACGAAGTGAAGTATAATTTACAGGAAAGAGCCCGTTTGTGTGCTTCGCAAATCGGGATTACCAGGACCTCTGTTATTTCCCATCCAGCAATGAAGAATGTATTTGTAAAACCAGTTATATTATACAATTACCTAAAATGCTCTACGAAAATTGCAATTTAAATATATTAATTAAAAAAAAACAACACAATGCAATCGTTTGGAAGAAAAAAAGCAACTCGTTGAGGTCCTTGTAGATTGTGACGCCCTTAGCTGTAGCTTGTTTAGCTGTTTCCTAAATCCAGCACTGATAACAAGGATGTTGGTCTCGCGCTTCAGGTGCCGCCCTCCACATCCACGAGCTGGCTTTGACCAGCCTCGACTGGCTGATCTCCAACCTGACCTATCGAGACAACGCGTACATGTGTAAGGCCAAGCACGGCTACCTCAAGTTTGCTGTCTTCAGTACGCTTTCCAGGAATCCCGGTATAATTGTGTGTGTGCGCGCGTGCGTGTGTTTGTGTGTGTGTGTGTGTGTGTGTGTGTGTGTGTGTGTATTCTTGTGTCGTCCAATTGATCAGACAATCAATCAGTCACTGATTCATCTGCAGTCTTCACACTGCAGGTTGACCGCAATGGATTTCCAACATTGTGTCTCACGTCTGTGTTGTATACCATCTTAGACTGCTGTTCGCTTGGTGCAGTGGTGAGGTGTGATCAGTTCGCAGGTGTTACGCCTTAGCAGGTATCCAGGGTACTGGAGGGGATATCACGTGATATTTTCCACCTTGTCGCTTCGATGTTGATAGTATGCGAACGGAGCCAACATCGTAGTACTAGTAGTGGTAGCTTGTACATTTTACAGTTTCTTTATGTGTGGCGTAAGCTATGGAGATTTAAACCGAGTGGCGTACTTGTAGTAAATAGTATACAGTAATAATAAATGTTAATTACATATTTAATTTTTTTTTGGGCAATGAAATGGTAAGGGGTGTCACTGCTGTCTTAATGTTATTCTATCATGTGTACCCCCCGTTTTGATGTTATCCGCTCACTTGTATCCATGTCTTCCCAGAGTGGGTTCTGCGATCCCATTGTGGAAGAAAACAAGAATAGACGCCCTGTCTTTTCCTTTCCAGCAAGCATGTCGCCAGAGTCGACTAATTAGAAGCTTCCTTCGAAGTCGGAGTGCATGGGGGCCGAGCAGCAAGCAACAACAAACTGCACACAAATAAGCCAGTAAAACGGATGTACACGCTAAACTCAGGCTCTGGCACAAAGTCAAGGTCCAAACAGACGAATAACCAGGACTCTCTGCCTGAGCTCACAGCTGGTTAACAGAGAAGAAAGAGAGGAGTACCCGCTCCGCCCGCTCTCTTTTCCCCCATTCCCCCATTATGGTTTGATTGCTAGTAAGTCTTCAATGAAATTTCATTGCCCTATGTGTCACAAAAGGCTCGCAATTTTTTTAAATTCTGTGCAGTCATTTTCATATCATGGATGGAATCGAATGCAGCAGTTTGGCCTCTCTCATCAACGTTCGCCTTAGGGTTTCTCTTGGACGTCCTCCTTTTGTCACTTTCCCTGTATTCCTTATAAGCGTTTGTCTGCTGATTCTCTGCTGATTTCTTCACAGGATGTGTCCACTGTAGCACCATCTTCTCTGTCTTATAACTTGATACTAGTGGTTGCCAAGACATTTCTCTTATTTGTTCACTCTTCTTGAATTCATTTTATTTTATGTTAATCATTTTCCACAGGCATCTGTTTTCATACGCTTTTAACTTTCGTTTCATGACTTTTGCTACCTGTATATGTCTTTAATTATTGTGTTATTAATTCAGTTGAGCCGGTAATTTTTTTATATTTTTAAAAAATGACCTTAACTCCCAGGTCGACCCAGCCTTAAGTGGGTACTAGATGCTGTCCCGAGAAGTAAAGGCGGCCGGCGTGGTATCGACCACATCATCCATGGACTGCCGATTGGTCTATAAAATATAGGTCTAACCCTATATGCCCAATACGCTTTAAGGCGCGGAAAAAGGGTCCTTTACGTTTACTTAGCTTTGTTATTCAAGTGATCTCACATTCGTTCGTTCATTTATAGTCAACAATCCCTTAATTCAGTCTGTTGTGCATCTATTGTTTCAATCATGCAATCAGGATCCGTATCCGCAATGAAGGTTGGCCGCAATGGATCTCTAACACACCCTGGCTCTTGTCTTGAAAGTACAACTCTCTCAGACCGTTGTCTGTCCATCTCTCGTGTTGTCCCTCATCAGGTATCATTACCTACCTCTTACTCTTTTGCCTTTGACCTTTATTTCACTAATATGGCTTTTAAAAGAGTCTTACGTCTTGTAACATAGTTATTTAGCTAATGCTACCATTCACTAACAAGTTCTGTGACATGTTCATTTTTGATATTTATCTTCTATGTCAGCACTGATAAAATGACATGGGCAGAATCATACCGTATAGGCCTATGGTGTCGTTAGTAAAGAAATAAAGTAAAGATCCCTTTTCACATCTTTAGGCACATCGGGTATATGGGAAGAGCGCCCATATTTTTTCATACCATCGGCACTAGGTGGGTAATGTGGTCAGCATGACGCCGGTCATCTTTACTTTCCCCCAGGACAGCCATCCTGGTACCTATTTGAGGCTGGGTTGACCTGCGACGCCCCATACCATGATAAAAATCCACGCAGCCAGATGTGGGTTTCGATCGCGGTACGTTGGATTACGAGTGGGAATCTCAACGCCTTAGCCACTGACGCCGCTATGGTGTCGTTACAGAACCAATAATTCTATTTGCCTGATGTGATCGTTAACATGTCGCATCTTATCTTTTTTAGGCTTGGCAGTATTTTGAGCGAATACAATTTAAAAATGCAACCTCCTAATCCACGTGTGTGTTCCGGAGTCTCACTGTGGGAAAACAAGAATAGGCTCACTGCCTTCTCAATAAGCATGTCGTAGGAGTCAAATTCTACAACTGATTTGCACGTCTAGAAAGAAAACATCATGTCCGTTCCATTGTGATTATTCTCTAGCATGTCCCATGTGACGTTTCTTTACAACTTTCTGTAAGTCGTGTCGGTCTGTCTGTCTATTTCCGGGTCATGTATTGGCTTGGGTACAGTTTTAACACCGCCGCATCATTGGTTTTCGTCTGGAAAATCTGAAACGTATTTGTACTGCTTTGCAATCAGTTAGCAACAAGTAACAATCACATTTAACAATATCTCTGCCACTTAGCAGGGGGTGTCTCTCGTCTGACGGAGTTGATGGAATCTGTTGTCTTCGGTGATTACATTTATTACCACGGGGAAATCTCACCGCTGGAGACACTCGGCAGTTGCAGCTTGATCGGTTTGTGGCAACATGTATCCGACTGGTAGATTAAACAATGTCTATCCTGTTAAGGATCTTTGGTACTTGACAAAAAGTACCTGGCATAAACTGCTGGGGGACTGAAATATTATCTGGTGAAATTAATCAGCCAGTGACACTCGTAAATTTTACTCCAGATGGCTTTTGTTAGGAAGGTTTGTATCCCTTGTTAGCAGTGGGCTTGGATTTTCTCTGTGTTATATAACCTCTTAATGAAAGCTTCGCCTGAAGCATGGGAGGTTCGGTTACCGCTACTCACAGTTATAGAGTGGGTACATTAACTCTGTTACAATAATTCCAGTTTGCCTATTCTTTGTAGATTGCGCGTGGAAGTCAGTGAAACAAGAACGCACAGCTTCTGGTAATGCTGCTTTATTTAATGAACGGTTGGTATTTTCATGAGTGTAACCTTTATGCATTAGTTCGCTTTTTATTGTTATTAAAATCTCTCTTACTTTTCACTCGAACCACCCAATCACTCACTCACTCACTCACTCACTCACTCACTCACTCACTCACTCACTCACTCACTCACTCACTCACTCACTCACTCACTCACTCACTCACTCACTCACTCACTCACTCACTCACTCACTCACTCACTCACTCACTCACTCACTCACTCACTCACTCACTCACTCACTCACTCACTCACTCACTCACTCACTCACTCACTCACTCACTCACTCACTCACTCACTCACTCACTCACTCACTCACTCACTCACTCACTCACTCACTCACTCACTCACTCAGTCACTCACTCACTCACTCACTCACTCACTCACTCACTCACTCACTCACTCACTCACTCACTCACTCACTCACTCACTCACTCACTCACTCACTCACTCACTCACTCACTCACTCTCACTCACTCACTCACTCACTCACTCACTCACTCACTCACTCACTCACTCACTCACTCACTCACTCACTCACTCACTCACTCACTCACTCACTCACTCACTCACTCACTCCCTCACTCACTCACTCACTCACTCACTCACTCACTCAACCACACACTCACTCACACACTCACTCACTCACTCACTCACTCACTCACTCACTTTCTAACTAACTCACTATATCACTCCCTCACTATCTCAAACATTCTCACTTTCACCGCCCAGCTAAACTGTTTGCCTGCTTCTTTCCACCAAACACGCCTGTATTGCCCGGGCAAAATATCCACTTTCTCTCAACATCTGCGACCTCTTTATTGATGCGACCCATTCTATCAGAAGGAAGGTTGATTCCACCCTCGTGAGTATAGTACTCTGCAAATCAGATACCATGACAATATATGCGATGGAGATTTTTGTTACCCACCGTAATGCCAGAGTTACCGCCCCAGTCTCTATTCGCATGCTGGCTGTTGTATATACGAAACAAGAAGTATAGAATGTTTGACAGGCCTGCATGCCTATCTTGTAACTGTTTGAATAAAAGGTTGTTCTGTTCGTTCTTTAACTCCCATAGATGCTAGCTTTACCAGTGTCCTAGCCGACATGAAAGCCAGAGCATCTGACTCGGGACTTGAGGCTTAGTCCTTTTGAGGATTTAGCTACAAACTGTCCTAGGTGGCTATCACTTCAAGTGGTTTGTAATAAAGAGGAATGAACCCGCTATCACTACCGACGGTCAGCCTATGGATCATGCTGATATTATTAATGCCCTCAGAGAAATGGGAAGGATAGAGGACTTTGGGGGCAGTGAATCCACATCACTCGCCAGAATGGCAGACGTGGGAATTTAGATCAGCATAGCAAAAACGAGATGCACACCAGACACACCAGAAGACTTGTTAATCAACATAGAATTGGTACTATTAGCCATCGGACGTTGGGGTTCGTACTGAGGGGAGAAACTGAGCAGCTATGGACATGCCCGGAGCGCAATGATGATAACCCAACTAACTCACTAACTAAAGAGGAATGAAATACATACGCACGCACAGTGATATTCTAAAACGAAACGGATAAAGAATCATAAAACAGAACTGAAATGGAAAACAAATGGATTGAGTGAGAAGGTCGTCAATGAGAAACCAAATGACGAAGTTGATGCGATTGGTCAGTGGTACTGATCTGACTTTTATTCGCGATATCGAAAGGATTGCAAAGGTTAGATCAGAGTGAAGGAATCACCTGGGAGTACTACGTGGCACATAAACAACATAGAAGGTTGATGATGATGATGACTGTTGATTTGCACCTGCTGTCACGGTTATTGTATACAGGCAAACAGCTGCTTGGAAACCGTTTTTTACAATTGTGTGTATGTGTGGGTGGGGCCATTGATGAAACAAGCCCATTGACATGGTTGTGTTATCAAGAGATTTCATATGAGCGCATAGTGAGTGATTCTGTGAAATTGCTCGAGAAATCACAAATAGACTTTAACAGAAAAAGAGTGGCTGCTCTCATTAAAAGCACTGCAAATGTCTCGTCTCACTTTTGCCTTTGTGTCGGGTCAAATGGGTGCTCAAGGCAACGATTATGTAGATTTTCTGGGGACACTGGGATAATTTTGACTGATCGTGCAATAGCCAGGCACCATGTGATCGTTGTCATGGGAGATGTGAGTGAATCAATCATTCAGCACGTCCTTTCCAGAACGTTACTGTTTTCATAGCCCCCCCCCCCCCCCCCGAAAGTCTCTCGTTCTCTAGCCAGTTATCCAGCCCTGTGTGCATTCATAGTCAATTTATCGTCAATGTCCTCTATGCACTTTGGCGGAGGTCGACCTCCGCTTCGTTTTTCGGAACTACACCCTCCATCACCATTCTCTCTAGACCCCAATGGAGATTGACATGGCCAGAATACAGGATACTTTGTATGAGCCAGTTTTCCTTCATGTCGAGGTTATGGAAGATGTCGACGTTTGTCTTCCGCTTCTTCTTCTTCGTCTTTTTTCCAAAGTATATATCCATTGATTTCGTGTAAGTTGTCTGTATGTTGCTTCTGTTTTGTGGTATTACATTTGTTTCCGTTTGCAAGTATTTTTGTTAAACTGTGTTGGATGTATTTAAATGAACAGAGAAGAGATTGGGGGTCAGGGGAGGGGGGGGGGGGGAGAGAAAGTGATTCAGTTCCCCAGACTATAACAAAGATGTAGTTCCGGCAAGATATAAACTCGTCAATGTCTTGTTTTTCTTGGTACAGTGTTTCTAGTCTTTCCGTGTGTCAGAAAAGTTTCTGCGTGCTATGACCATGTTGTTCTTGGTACAGTGTTTCTAGTCTTTCCGTGAGTCAGAAAAGTTTCTGCGTGCTATGACCATGTTTTTTTTTTTAATTTCTTGGTCAAGTTTGTCTTTGTTTTCTTGGTAGTAGAAAGCTAACTCGTCAATATCTGGCTGGTGTTGATCTCTCAGAACTGATATTGTTAGTTCATAGCTCTTTTATGTATTTTCTCTTTGTGTTGGTAGTGGCACCAGCTAAAGTTTCCGAGCAGTTCTACAGCAGAAGTACCAGCTAAAGTTTCCCAACAGTTCTACAGCAGAAGTACCAGCTAAAGTTTCCCAACAGTTCTACAGCAGAAGCACCAGCTAAAGTTTCCCAACAGTTCTACAGCAGAAGCACCAGCTAAAGTTTCCGAGCAGTTCTACAGCAGAAGTACCAGCTACAGTTTCCCAACAGTTCTACAGCAGAAGTACCAGCTAAAGTTTCCCAACAGTTCTACAGCAGAAGTACCAGCTATAGTTTACGAGCAGTTCTACAGCAGAAGTACCAGCTAAAGTTTCCCAACAGTTCTACAGCAGAAGCACCAGCTATAGTTTACGAGCAGTTGTACAGCAGAAATACCAGCTATAGTTCACGAGCAGTTCTACAGCAGAAGTACCAGCTAAAGTTTCCCAACAGTTCTACAGCAGAAGTACCAGCTATAGTTTACGAGCAGTTCTGCAGCAGAAGTACCAGCTATAGTTTACGAGCAGTTCTACAGCAGAAGTACCAGCTAAAGTTTCCCAACAGTTCTACAGCAGAAGTACCAGCTATAGTTTACGAGCAGTTCTGCAGCAAAAGTACCAGCTAAAGTTTCCGAGCAGTTCTAAATCAGAATTTGCCTTTATGGGTTTCTTTGTTCCTGAATGGATGTCTGCTGAAGTTGTTTCCCTACTCTTCTCTTTCTGTTCTCTGTGTTTTGATGTTTGCGTTGTTGCTTGTTGTGTAGTTTCCATTGGTTCTATTTGTCTTCTGTTTGGTCTACGGAAGTTGAAGAACAAATTTTATGTAGCATAAGAGATGCTTATAGCGAAGACAGTTTTGGTGATCAGCATGACTGCGTATCTTTGTCTAGATTTATGTGTATGGCGTTATAACCTGGAGCTGCATGCAATGAACCGTGTGATTAACCGTGATTCTACTGAGAAAGAAATCGGAGAACTTATGGATCTGTCTGAAATGATGTGACGATGATCTCTAACAGGGCTGTCCCTCGTGTGGGTTCCGGGGCCCCATTGTGGGGAAAACAAGAATAGACCTACTGTCTGTACAACCAGCATGTCGTAGGAGTCGACTAAGTCGTAGCACATCTGACTGAGAGGAAAGAAATCAAGAGTCTGCATACAAATAAGCGAAAATTGTGAAACGGACGTGCATAAAATACTCAGGTTCTTCTGCACGAAGACTAAAGTACGGAGGTGGGCGAACACCCAGAACTTTCCACTGGAGCTTACAGCCGGTGAATGTGGAGAAAAAGAAGAAAAGGGCAGGATTAAGACTCTTCGATGCCGTAAGCACTTCAAAGATTAGGTGACCCCACGTCCCTGAGCCATCTTAACAGCAATATGGACACCTGGGCCCCAGTGTGTAAGAGCCTCCACGACAACAACTCACGTGAATAAACTATAAATGGTCACTTGACATACACATATTAGCATAGAGCCCTATTCGCGTGGAGCCTCCAGGTGAGAGACTATGTGTTAAATCTGCACTAGTGCCCATTAATATCTTCTTCTTCTTCGCGTTCACCAGCTGTAAACTCTGGCGGAAGGTTCTGGTTGCTCGTCCACTACTGAACTGCAGTCCTGCTCCAGAACCTGAGTGTTGCGTGTGCATCAGTTTTACAGATCTCACTCTCTTGAATACGGACTGTTGGTTCCTTGCCTCTCTGGCAGATGCACTCCGACTTCAAAGGAAGCTCCCCAATTAGTCGACTCTTACGACATGCTTTTGGGGAGGCAGTGGGTCTATTCTTGTTTTCCCCCACAATGGGGCCCCGGAACCCACACGGGGGGCCCATTAATATAATTTATTAAAAGCAATAATAAACCATGGACAATTTTTTTATAAATAGAAATGAAACAAAACTTACATAAGACAGAAGCTATTGTCAATATTTGTATACTTCCACTTTATTTATATTTGTAAAGTTTTCTACTTTTTGGGAAGGAAAAAAAGAGGGGGGGGGGAGGGGGTAAGTGCAAAGGTTTTGATCTAAGCTTCAAACAACTAAATTGTATGTAACACGTCTGTTTCTATACTTTTCGAGATAAAATATCGAGACTGTCCTGTTGCATCGTTTTTTTTGGTTGGCGTTTTTAACCATGCTTCAATTGAGAACACTGAGGCTCGGCTCTAAAGCTGTTGAAAATGTATGTAGTACCCTCTCCCCTTGTGATGACAATAGCACTTGCTTAGTGTAAAAAAGTAAAGTAAAGATCCCTTTTCACGCCTTTCGGCGCATCGGGCATATGGGCAGAGCGTCCCATATTTTTACAGACCATCAGAACTCGGAGGGTAATGTGGTCAGCATTACGCCGGCTGTCTTTACTTTCCCAGGACAGCCCATCCTGGTACCCATTTTAGGCTGGGTCGACCTGCGACGTCCCATACCACGACAAAAATCCACGCAGCCTGCAGTGGGTTTCGATCGCGGTATGCTGGCTTACGAGTCAGACTCGCAACACTTTAGCCACGGACGCCGCACTTGCTTAGTGTGCTGAATGGTTAATCTGGTCCTGGTTCTGAATAATCACAGCTATTGTCTCCACAGGCTCAAGAAGAACCTCAGTCTCCTGGCCACCGACCCACTGAAAACGTTCGAGACGCCTAGTGATGCCCAGAGACGGCTGGAAATTTACCAGGATCAGGTCAGAGACACGCTATGTCTCCTTGTATGTTGGTATAGATGAGAATTGTAGAGGTGCTACCAGGATCAGGTCAGAAACACGCTATGTCCCCTTGTATGTTGGTATAGATGAGGACTGTAGAGGTGCTACCAGGATCAGGTCAGAGACACGTTATGTCCCCTTGTATGTTGGTATAGATGAGGACTGTAGAGGTGCTACCAGGATCAGGTCAGAGACACGTTATGTCCCCTTGTATGTTGGTATAGATGATGATTGTAGAGCTGCTACCAGGATCAGGTAAGAGACAAGTTATGTCCCCTTGTATGTTGGTATAGATCAGGACTGTAGAGGTGCTACCAGAATCAGGTCAGAGACACGCTATGTCCCCTTGTATGTTGGTATAGATCAGCACTGTAGAGGTGCTACCAGAATCAGGTCAGAGACACGCTATGTCCCCTTGTATGTTGGTATAGATCAAGACTGTAGAGGTGCTACCAGAATCAGGTCAGAGACACGCTATGTCCCCTTGTATGTTGGTATAGATGAGGACTGTAGAGGTGATACCAGGATCAGGCCAGAGACACGCTATGTCCCCTTGTATGTTGGTATAGATGAGAATTGTAGAGGTGCTACCAGGATCAGGTCAGAAACACGTTATGTCCCCTTGTATGTTGGTATAGATGAGGACTGTAGAGGTGCTACCAGGATCAGGCCAGAGACACGCTATTTCTCCTTGTATGTTGGTATAGATGAGGATTGTAGAGGTGCTACCAGGATCAGGCCAGAGACACGCTATTTCTCCTTGTATGTTGGTATAGATGAGGATTGTAGAGGTGCTACCAGGATCAGGCCAGAGACACGCTATTTCTCCTTGTATGTTGGTATGGATGAGAATTGTAGAGGTGCTACCAGGATCAGGCCAGAGACACGCTATTTCTCCTTGTATGTTGGTGTAGATGAGGATTGTAGAGGTGCTACCAGGATCAGGCCGGAGACACGCTATTTCTCCTTGTATGTTGGTATAGATGAGGATTGTAGAGGTGCTACAAGGATCAGGCCAGAGACACGCTATTTCTCCTTGTATGTTGGTATAGATGAGGATTGTAGAGGTGCTACCAGGATCAGGTCAGAGACACGCTATTTCTCCTTGTATGTTGGTATAGATGAGGATTTTAGAGGTGCTACCAGGATCATGCCAGAGACACGCTATTTCTCCTTGTATGTTGGTATAGATGAGGATTGTAGAGGTGCTACCAGGATCAGGCAAGAGACACGCTATTTCTCCTTGTATGTTGGAATAGATGAGGATTGTAGAGGTGCTACCAGGATCAGGCCAGAGACACGCTATTTCTCCTTGTATGTTGGTATAGATGAGGATTGTAGAGGTGCTACCAGTATCAGGCCAGAGACACGCTATTTCTCCTTGTATGTTGGTATAGATGAGGATTGTAGAGGTGCTACCAGGATCAGGTCAGAGACACGCTATTTCTCCTTGTATGTTGGTATAGATGAGGATTGTAGAGGTGCTACCAGGATCAGGTCAGAGACACGCTATGTCTCCTTGTATGTTGGTATAGATCAGGACTGTATAGATGCTACCAGGATCAAGGTTAGAGACACGTTATGCCCCTTTTGTATGCCTGCAGAGGTGCTGAACTACTCCAGGTGGTGCATCACGACCAGTGCTGAAACTGGCCAAAAGCTATAAACATCTCTCCGTGGTCATTCTTGAAACAGATTTGCTACTTGGACCTGGCTTGCAATCGACATTTCCTTCAAAATCGAGGCGAGGTGCCAGAAGTCTGCACACAGATAAGCTGGATCTGTAACAGGAAGTGCATGCAGAGCTCAGGTCCTGGAAAAAGACCAAAGTCCAGAAGTTGACGAACAACTAGGACTTTTCCACAGGATTTCACAGCTGGTAAACGCGAAGAAAAAGAGGAATGTGACGGGTGGTTCCAATCAAAGGTCTTCTCCCAAATTTGGGTAGACAAAAAGACACGGTTGTGTTATTGCAGCCAGGATGGGAAAGGAAAAATAAACCAAAAAACAAAAACAAAAAAAAAGTTTTAGTTCTTCTTCTTCTTCTTCTTCTTCTTCTTCTTCTTCTTCTTCTTCTTCTTCTTCTTCTTCTTCTTCTTCTTCTTCTTCTTCTTCTTCTTCTTCTTCTTCTTCTTCTTCTTCTTCTTCTTCTTCTTCTTCTTCTTCTTCTTCTTCTCTTCTTCTTCTTCTTCTCTTCTTCTTCTTCTTCTTCTTCTTCTTCTTCTTTTCTTCTTCTTCTTCTTCTTTCTTCTTCTTCTTCTTCTTCTTCTTCTTCTTTCTTCTTCTTCTTCTTCTTCTTTCTTCTTCTTCTTCTTCTTCTTCTTCTTCTTCTTCTTCTTCTTTCTTCTTCTTCTTCTTCTTCTTCTTCTTCTTCTTCTTCTTCTCTTCTTCTTCTTCTTCTTCTTCTTCTTCTTCTTCTTCTTCTTCTTCTTCTTCTTCTTCTTCTTCTTTCTTCTTCTTCTTCTTCTTCTTCTTCTTCTTCTTCTTTTTCTTCTTCTTCTTCTTCTTCTTCTTCTTCTTCTTCTTTTTCTTCTTTCTTCTTCTTCTTCTTCTTTTTCTTTTCTTCTTCTTCTTCTTCTTCTTCTTCTTTCTTCTTCTTCTTCTTCTTCTTCTTTCTTCTTCTTCTTCTTCTTCTTCTTCTTCTTCATCTTCATCTTCATCTTCTTCTTCTTCTTCATCTTCTTCTTCTTCTTCTTCTTCTTCTTCTTCTTCTTCTTCTTCTTCTTCTTCTTCTTCTTCTTCTTCTTCTTCTTCTTCTTCTTCTTCTTCTTCTTCTTCTTCTTCTTCTTCTTCTTCTTCTTCTTCTTCTTCTTCTTTTTCTTTTCTTCTTCTTCTTCTTCTTTCTTCTTCTTCTTCTTCTTCTTCTTCTTCTTCTTCTTCTTCTTCTTCTTCTTCTTCTTCTTCTTCTTCTTCTTCTTCTTCTTCTTCTTCTTCTTCTTCTTCTTCTTCTTCTTCTTCTTCTTCTTCTTCTTCTTCTTCTTTTCCTTGTTATTCACTTTTATCGTTTATCGATACGGTGTGCGCGACATGTTTGTTGTATGTGGCATATTTCTGGTCATAATCTCTGTGAGTTTGTTTGGTGTATGTGGCTTATTTCTGGTCATAATCTATGTGAGTTTGTTTGGTGTACGTGGCTTATTTCTGGTCATAATCTATGTGAGTTTGTTTGGTGTACGTGGCTTATTTCTTGTCATAATTTATGTGAGTTTGTTTGGTGTTTGTGGCTTATTTCTGGTAATAATCTTTGTGAGTTTGGTGTTTATGGCTTATTTCTGGTAATAATCTATGTGAGTTTGTTTGGTGTACGTGGCTTATTTCTGGTCATAATCTCTGTGAGTTTGTTTGTTGTATGCGGCTTGTTTCTGGTCATAATCTATGATTGTTTGGTGTGTGCGGCATGTTTCTGGTCATAATCTCTGTGAGTTTGTTTGTTGTATGCGGCTTGTTTCTGGTCATAATCTATGTTTGTTTGGTGTATGTGGCTTATTTCTGGTCATAATCTATGTGAGTTTGTTTGATATATGTGGCTTATTTCTGGTCATAATCCATTTGAGTTTGTTTGGTGTATGCGACATGTTTCTGGTCATAATCTATGTGAGTTTGTTTGTGTATGCGGCATGTTTCTGGTCAACCACTCAGTGAATTTGTTCCACGCAGGTGGAGAATCTCATCCGGAGGCCCACAGTTTTGACGGATTACCTGACCCAAGCCATCAAGGAATTCCAAGCAGACAATGTTCTGTATATGGAAGTCAGGGCGCGTCTCACAGGCGTGAGTATGTATACATTAGTCAAGGGCATTATTGCACGCCTCCAGTCTCAATGTATGGGGCTTCGTTTCGTTCGTCCCAAATGGCTCGCAGTCTATCAGTGCATTCAACTCCACTTTGTTACCTATTAACAACAGGTAGATAGACTGGCCGGTTCTGCACCACTTAGTAGGGAATTCATGTATGGCACGCTATATGATACGAGGACCTTTTGGGAGCGAGTGAACAGTGCGGAGGAATAAAGAGATTTTTACGGTCTCAGGAGAATGGAGGAGTTACCGGGGATCTGACTGACGCTCAACACTAAAGGGAAAGGCGAGACGGATGTGTAATCAGACAGTTACTGGTACCATCGGAATTTGAGCTCTTCTTTTGCTGCTGAAGATGGGGACGGAGGGCTTTTAAGAGTGGAGTTATATGATGTCGATTGTTAATTCAACATTCTACTTGTTGTCCGTATCGACATCCTAGCACTTCGGTCTGACCGATTGGTTCTCCGTCCTCCAATGCAGCAGTCCTCGCTGAGTCTCCATGCTCGCCGTACCCAGTAGGAGTTGACTGTCCTATCTTCTTTCTTTACCCCGCAAACGGTTTCTACATGCTTGTGCTCGTTTAATACTCATTTCTAGCAGGCGGTTTATTGTCTCTTGAATATTTTGTCGCAAAGTCTCTAGAACGCAGAGCGTCCAGTGTGTCTGCCCGCTCGATACGTCTTCCTCCACCAACCGCTGCAGACACGACCAATCTGTCTGCTCTTTCCTTTCTTCTCAGTGACTCCAGGTGTGAATAGCTAAGAGAGTTTCTAAATTTTAGATCTAACCTTTGTTATTGATTTCGCGTATGGTATCCAGCCCTAAATTAAGCTGTTTGGCGCAGGGTTTCACTTGAATGTCCTCGCGTCGTTAATCGATTTGTTTCCCCTGTAATTTCCGGTGCCTGTTTGAGGATTCTTTGTTTGCCTTGTCTCAGAATGTGTTTAATAGACTGTCTCTGTCTGTTTCGCCTTTCTTGGATTCTTCTTCTTCTTTTGTCAAAATCTGCTTGTGCCGCTAGGCGTCGCAGTCTATCAGATGATCGGCAACCGAGCCAGGGCGCGCTCAGTCGCTTCATATGCCGTGATGTTATGAAGTCTCAAGTTGTCCATGACTCCTTCAATCCATCTTCTTCTTGGTCTTTCCCTGCCTCTTGGTGTTTCGATTTTCATGTTGCATGTTCTTGATGCTGGCATCGTTGGTTCCATTTTCACTAGGTGACCAAACCATTTCATTCTTTGCTTCTCAATAAATTTAACGATGGGTATGGTTCCAATAGTTCCAAGATTGAAGGTTCGAAAAAGATTTACCATCTATAAGACCAATTTTGTCTCTCAAAAATGCAGCCTTACACTAAATGGGACAATTATTAAGCAAGTTAATACACTTAAGTAGCTGGGTATCCTGATAACATCAGATGGAAGACGCATTGAAGAAGAGAAATTAAATATAGAATAGCTCAAGCAAAACCATTACTTCACACAATGAGAAATATTATATTCAACCTCACCTTGTCAATAGAGATGAAAAAGAGAGTTCTCAAAAGCTATATAAATTCTATCCAGATATACGGAAGTTGATCACGGACAGTTGGACGATCAGTAACAATTTTTTTGGAAGCGACAGGGGGAGAGGAGGGGGAAGGGGGGTGGTGGTGGTGGTTTAAAGAACAATGAAGAGAAATAACCTGGACAGATAAAAAGAGTAAAAGATTTCTTTAAAAAAAAAAAACGAGCTCACGATGATAACTGATTGCTCACATCAGAAGGAGGCAATCTACATTCTTCGGTGTCATGAGAAGGAGAAAACTGGAGTGCATCGGGACAGTAGTAGCGTTGGAAGGAACAAAAGGCAGAGGGAGACGGAAAGAGAAAATGCTATACAGTTTTACATCATGTCATAGAAGATCATCTGTGGTAAAACGGATTGAAAGTACACGGTACAGAAGGTTGTGGATGACTATAACTACCAACGCCACACTACATGTACTATGGAAGATCAGCTGTGTCAAAAAAGACTGAAAGTACACGAAACAGAAAGTTGTGGATAGACCTGCCTACTAACTCTGTGAGGCTCAGACTATTAGAAGAAGAAGATCAGTTTCATTGCACAGGGTTTTATCTCCCTTTCTCTATTATTTTCTCTCTCTAATACTCTCTCTCTCTATTACTCTCGCTCTCTCTATCTCTGTGGGGGTGTGTGAGTCTCTCTTTCTATTGCTCTATATTGGACTCTCTCTGTGGGTGTGTATGTGAGAGTCTCTCTCTCTCTCTCTCTCTCTCTCTCTCTCTCTCTCTCTCACTCTTATATCAGTGCAAAAGAAAAAAAAATGACATTCATAGACACAACCAGGCAGTCAGTGCAACGAACCCGACAACCTTTAGAGCGCGTGGCACATGATTTAATCCGTCGGCCATGGAGTTATCGCCTCTCTTGAATTCATGCCATTACATTTTCAGTAATGTCTCCTCTATTTGGCTGCATCTCGTCATCACCATCGTCATCACCATCGTCATCACCATCGTCATCATCATTGTCATCATCATCGTCATCACCATCGTCATCATCATTGTCATCATCATCGTCATCACCATCATCATCATCATCATCATCATCATCATCATCATCGTAATCACCATCATCATCACCATCGTCATCACTATCGTCATCACCATCGTCATCATCATCGTCATCATCATCGTCATCACCATCGTCATCACCAACGTCATCACCATCGTCATCACCATCGTCATCATCATCATCGTAATCACCATTGTCATCACCATCGTCATCACCATCGTCATCATCATCGTCATCACCATCGTCATCAAAATCGTCATCATCATCGTCATCACCATCATCATCACCATCGTCATCACCATTGTCATCACCAGTGTCATCATCATCGTCATCACTATCGTCATCACCATCATCATCACCATCGTCATTACCATCGTCATCACCATCGTCGTCACCATCGTCATCACCATTATCATCACCATCGTCATCACCATCGTCTTCACCATCGTCGTCACCATCGTCATCACCATCGTCGTCACCATCGTCAACACCATCATCATCACCATCGTCATCACCATCGTCATCACCATCGTCGTCACCATCGTCATCACCATCATCATCACCATCGTCATCACTATTGTCATCACCAGTGTCATCATCATCGTCATCACCATCGTCATCACCATCATCATCACCCTCGTCATTACCATCGTCATCACGATCGTCGTCATCATCGGCATCACCATCGTCATCACCATCGTCATCACCATCGTCTTCACCATCGTCATCACCATCGTCATCACCATTGTCATCACCAGTGTCATCATCATCATCATCATCATCGTCATCACCATCGTCATAAACATCGTCATCACCATCGTCATCACCATCGTCTTCACCATCGTCATCACCATCGTCATCATCATCGTCATCACCATCGTCATCATCATCGTCATCACCATAGTCATCATCATCGACATCATCGTCATCGCTTTCATCCTTTGTGTACCGTTAGACCTCACATAGGACTTGCATTCGATTCCTTTTGGTCTGCAAATGCATATCATTTTCTGTCCATGTCTTTCGTGATTATCCAGTATCCACTGGCGTGTGCCATCATTTGAATAAAACTGGAACTGAGAATTCAAATTTGGTTTTAAAATCAGTTTAATTTGGGATGGGACGACTTCCCGACCAGACAATAGAGTGCCAGCTCTAGGTAACATAGAAAGGCTCAACAGAAAGACGACAGAGAAATAAATTAGGCACGCGAACGCCTAAATAATCTCGTCTCATCTGTTGTTAACAGAGTAGTAGAGGGCCATTGTCCCCACCTTTATGCGCATTGGGCATATAGGGCTAGACCTATATTTTATAGAGCAATCGGCACTTAGAGAGTGATGTGGTCATCATCACACCGGCCGCCTTTACTTCCCAGTGCTTGTTTGTATTTGTTAAAAATGACTCTAGGCTAATTAAGGAGCTGCCGTGATGTAGCGTGTAGACTCTCACTTACGTACTTGAAGGTCGTGGGTTCAAATCTAGACGGAACCTGACGTTTTTCCTTCTTAAAAACAAACATTGGCTACCAAGTCGAGGCAACCTTAAATTTGTACTAAGTAAATTCATGGGAAGTAAAGGCGACCACCACGATGTTGACCACATTTATACCAAATACCTATTGGTCTATAAAATATAGGTCTAGAGTTCATCGACCATGCACTCAGAATAAATAAGACCAGACTCCCCCATCAGCCCCCCCCCCCCCGTCCCCATATGGACACCGGAGGGGAAAAGAAATTGTTGAAGACCGAGAGAGACTGACTCTACGTGCAGCCATTATTAGGGAAGGCTCAAGCATAGACCAAACAAGCACCCAAGACCTAAAGCAGGTGGCAACGAACCGCCAGACATGGAGAGCAATGACCTCTGCCCTATGCGCCACCCTAGGCTCAAAAGGAAAGACTAACTATCTGCCCAAAAAGCATGAGGGCGTAGAAAATGGTCGTTTGCTTTTACTGAGCTTAATAAGTTTAGGAATCTGTAGTTTGGAGTAATACAAATGTAATGATCTCCTCCGTCTACCACAAGATGATCGATGAGCACGGCGAACCAGTTTCTCCAGAGGGAGTGTTGGAGATGTATGAAAATGTGGGATACGAAATCGTCAACAAGTTTAGAAACTTCAGTGGTTTAAGGATTATCCACACAAGTCCCAGGTATGTTATTATCGGGGTCTCTTCACATGCAGGTAATGGAGCCAGGAATTATACATAATGTTACACGTATCTGTCACACAGGGCGTCTTTATATTCGGAATCCCAGATATATTACTATCGGGGTCTCTTCGTATTCCTGCTATACAGCCAGGTACTATACATAAAGTTCCGCGCATGTTGCAGGCGGAGCCTCTTCATACTCGGAGTCCCAGATGGGCTGCTGTCTGATGTTGATCAATCGGGGCTTCCCCCTTTGAACTACTATCCGAAAGTTTATTTAACTAAGATTTGAAAACATCAATCTCGATCGCAGACCAACGAGGCAGGTCCAAGATACCCCGTTCAGCCAACTAAGTCCAGGTGCGGATTCCGGTACCCCTTTGTGGGGAAGCCCAGAATAGATCCACTGCTGCCCCAGCAAGCAGGTTTTTGGAATCGACTAATTCAGGGCATTCTTTGAAGTCGGAGTACATCTGCCTGACAGACAAGGAACCAAAAACCTGCATGCAAATATGCCAGATCTGTGAAACGAACCTGCTCTAAACACTCAGGTTCTGGAACAAGACTCAAGTCCAGAGGTGGATGAACACCCATAACTTTCCGGGGGAGTTTACATCCGGTGAACGTGGAGAAGAAGAAAAGATACTACGTTCAACCTCCAAAGAAGTTATAGTTAAGGCACCCATAATGGTTATACCAGCCAGCTGCAATCTGCAGACCTGTGCAGGTAAGGACAGTCGCTGTATTTCATTCCTTTGTTTTAGAGAGAAACACTGCGAAAAAAAACCACACACAGATCTTGTTCTTCTTGTTCCTTTCTTGGATTTCTTCATAAAGTGCCTTGTGTTGTTGGTAATCATTGTTCAATCCACAACCTTCTGTCTCGTGTACTTCCAGTCAACTCTGACACAAATGTTCTTCCATAGTCCATGCCGAGTGGTGTTGGTATTCATGTCTATCCTTCTGTCGCATGTTCTTTAGACAAGTTCTGACACAAATGATCTTCCATGCAATGAGGCCAAACTGCCCAGACTTTTGGTCTTCTTCTGCCTTCTTTCTCCTCCAGCGTTCCCACCCTCACGATGTACGTCAGTTTTATCTTTGAGGTTTGAGGTTTAGAACAACTGATCAACATTATGACACACGGGTAGTAACCCATATGTGCTCCGTTCTACTTCTAACTGAAGTCTGAGTCCGAAAAAGCTCAGCACAGTGCACAAGCTCTGTAGCACCGACGAGAATTCTGAAATACTTTGGGTAGATTTTCAACTCACATTTTGCCCGGGCAGCACCGTCAGGCTACTTTTTTTTTTTTAAATCTCCAACTGCTAAGGGATTTTTTTATGCGCAGCAATGCAAACTGGCGTCTGGTCTCACTACACAGAGACCAGTCGGAATTACTAGAAGTCCAAGTTCACGTGAAAAAAATCCCAGCCCTTACAGGGGATTGAACCCGGAACCTCTAGCACTCGAGGCGGACACCATGCCTCGAGACCCTGCAGCCCCCTCCAGTTTTATCTTTTTCATGACCGCAGAATGACGATTGTCTCCTTCCGATGTAGGCAGGTAGTTCTCCTGGTGGCTCAGTTTCTTTCAAGACACTGGTTATATCATTTACAACACTGGTGCCAATGTAAGGCTAGGTCAACCTAGGGTCTTTTGGGGGAAAGATTCGTCTTAATTGGGATCTCAACCCATTGCCTTCTGATCCACACGTGAGCGTCTGGCCGCTGCACGACGGCTTCGTCTGCCTTGAATATACGTGCGCATGCATATACGTGTGTGTATGCATGTATTCCTGCAGGGGCGTGTACGCAGGTGTGTATACATCCATGTGTGTGTGTATGCAATCGCGTATGTGTGCATTCATTCACACATGGGCCTGCAGACGTGTATGTGTGTGTGTATATATATAGATATACATAATGTGCACTTACACACACACACACATACGTGTGGGTGTGTAATTGCACATGTATGTCTATATATGTGTGTGTATACCAGCCAGCTCCTAAATAACTCTCACTAGGTACTAGAGAATCGCTCCAAGTCACCAGTTCTGGTGAAATTAACATATCTTAGCCAACATGATTGGCACAAATAAACCAAACCACAGTTATAACCGATGCTGCTAGTAGGAGGCTGAACATGGTCGATGTTTTTTAAATAAATGGCTCATCTTTCATCTATAAAACCACATCACAACCGTTTCTAAATAATTTTTTACTAGTTTGCAAACTGTCCATGAATAATGGCGAACTAAAATGACCCTCTAAAACCATTGACAGTCAGCAAAGCCTCGGACTGGTTCGCTGCATCCTTGAAGGGGATTTGCGGACGTTCTCACGTTTCCCGGCCCATCTGCTCACTGGCTGATCTTCCATTCATACTTTCTAAGACTGTTCTACGTCAGAGTGGTTGAACGTTATCCAATTACATCACCGCCGATGTCGCCCGTGTTCTATATAACACACCGACACAGCTTTCAACGACCCCAGATCATCTACAACTGGCCCTAACCCAAACTTTCCACTTCCACTTCCACAGCCTGAGCCTAGGTCCCACCAGAGACTCTTTTGTATAAAAACAGTACAATATGACATCCCTCTGACATAGACCAGACGGAGAAAGAGTGTAGATGGGCCGAGAAACGTAAATAGGACCGGATTTGCAACTGACTTTAACTTTGAACCCTGACGTTTGTGTAATTAACTATTTATTATAGAAAAAATGGGGTTGACAATTAACCTTCAATTATATCACTTCGTGTCTTATTTCTTTTTCCTTAAATAAGTTTCAGTCATAGTTTTGGATAATTTATTTCGGTTAGGGATGGGTGGGGTCCTCCGAGGCGAAGTGTCAAGGCGTTTGCTTTGCGCTCTGACGGTCATGAGTTTGTTTCACAGACCCGTCGTTCAGTCCACGAGCGCAGTTTTTATGAAGATTATTGGGGGTCGTTGCTGTAGCTATGGTGTTCGTGATTTGTGAGATCATTACGGTAGCCCCGGTGGCAGTTAACGTTATGCCGAGAGAGAGACCCAGCCCTGTTGAATAACCCGATACATTGAAGTCGGTCTTCTTGTCTTCAACTTTAAGTATTTTCATGAAAATTATGTTTAGGTACAGCACGCCTGCTGAGGTTCTGAGGGAAGTCCAGCTAGCCATGAAACTGCGAGGCGATTACTCGGACATCCTTGTGGGGTTCGACCTGGACGGCTTTGAGAATCCAGGACAGTCTCTAAGCTACTACCTTGATGCTTTGCTTTTCCCAACTCGGTCGAAGCAAGACCTTTCCCTACCTTACTTCTTTCATGCTTCTGAGAACTGTAAGTGCGCTTCGTGAGTTGCTTCCTCTTGTTAACAGCTGCCTCCTGCAGGCAGGAGTTGCTTTTCGCAGGTGGAAGTTGCTTCTTGCAGGTGGGTTGCCTCCTGCAGGTAGGAGCTGCTTCCTGCAGGTGAGAATTGCATCCTGCAACTAGGAGTTGCTTCTTCTAATGGGAGTTTCTTCCATTAGTTGGCACTTGTTTTCTTCGTGTTGTTGGAATTTGTTTTCTCTTTTACTTTTCTTTTTGTGAGTTGTTTCCGTTGTATGTTTGGAAGTTGCTTCTTCTATCTGGGATTAACTTCCACTAAATTTGTACCTGGTAATAATATGGCTGGTGGGAAAAGATGGCGTCTAAATAATTGAAATACGAAAAAAAAAAAATAAAGCAGACATGTGGTAAAAAGGAGAAGGAGGAATAGAGGAAGAAGAAGAATTATGAACGAGTAAGATGAGAAGGAGGAGGAGGAAGAGGGTAAAGAAGAAGGAGAGGAATAAGAATAGGAAAGCGGAGGAAGAGAACCTATTAAAGAAACAACATGAGCTAGGATCATATGTTGTTCGAGGCGTTGAACTGTATCCTTTCGTTTGATTACGACAGACATTGTGTAAATTGTTATGTAGTGTTTTCAGTATCCAACATTAAAGTGTGTCATGTGCACAGCATTGTTGTTTGTTGTATGTCTAACACTGCAGTGAGGATGATGTCTACCATCGTACTATCGATGATGTCTACCATCGTACTATCGATGATGTCTACCATCGTACTATCGATGATGTCTACCATCGTACTATCGATGATTTCTACCATCGTACTATCGATGATGTCTACCATCGTACTATCGATGATGTCTACCATCGTACTATCGATGATGTCTACCATTGTACTATCGATGATGTCTACCATCGTACTATCGATGATGTCTACCATCGTACTATCGATGATGTCTACCATCGTACTATCGATGATGTCTACCATCGTACTATCGATGATGTCTACCATCGTACTATCGATGATGTCTACCATCATACTATCGATGATGTCTACCATCGTACTATCGATGATGTCTACCATCGTACTATCGATGATGTCTACCATCGTAATATCGATGATGTCTACCATCGTACTATCTGGCATGTCCTAAACTGTGGTAGTTCGTGTGTCAAACATTGTACTATGTCGTATACTTAACGCTGGTGCATTTCGTGTGTCCAATACTGTATTTTTTAAGCAAAACATTATAGTGTTTCTTATATCCAAAATGGCAGTGTTTCTTATGACAAACATTGTAAAGTGTCGCGTATCCAACATTCTAGTGTATCGTTGATCTAACATTGTAGTGTATCATGTATCCAAAATTGTAGTTTGTCATATATTCAACATTGTAGTGTGTCATATATTCAAAATTGCAGCATATCGTATATCCAACATTGTAGTTTGTCATATATCCAACATTGTAGTGTGTCATATATCCAAAAGTGCAGTATATCGTATATTTAACATATATGTCATATATCCAACATTGTAGTGTGTCTTATATATACTATCTGCCATGTCCTAAACTGTGGTAGTTCGTGTGTCAAACATTGTACTATGTCGTATACTTAACGCTGGTGCATTTCGTGTGTCCAATACTGTATTTTTTAAGCGAAACATTATAGTGTTTCTTATATCCAAAATGGTAGTGTTTCTTATGACAAACATTGTAAAGTGTCGCGTATCCAACATTCTAGTGTATCGTTGATCTAACATTGTAGTGTATCATATATCCAAAATTGTAGTTTGTCATATATTCAACATTGTAGTGTGTCATATATTCCAAAATTGCAGTATATCGTATATCCAACATTGTAGTTTGTCATATATCCAACATTGTAGTGTGTCATATATCCAAAATTGCAGTATATTGTATATTTAACATAAATGTCATATATCCAACATTGTAGTGTATCATATATATACTATCTGGCATGTCCTAAATTGTGGTAGTTCGTATGTCAAACATTGTACTATGTCGTATACTTACCGCTGGTGCATTTCGTGTGTCCAATACTGTATTTTTAAGCAAAACATTATAGTGTTTCTTATATCCAAAATGGTAGTGTTTCTTATGACAAACATTGTAAAGTGTCGCGTATCAAACATTCTAGTGTATCGTTGATCTAACATTGTAGTGTATCATGTATCCAAAATTGTAGTTTGTCATATATTCAACATTGTAGTGTGTCATATTTCCAAAATTGCAGTATATCGTATATCGTATTGTAGTTTGTCATATATCCAACATTGTAGTTTGTCATATATCCAAAATTGCAGTATATCGTATGTTTAACATATATGTCATATATCCAACATTGTAGTGTGTCATATATCCAACACTGTAGTGTATCATATATCCAACATTGTAGTTTGTCATATATCCAACATTGTAGTGTGTCATTTAGCCAAAATTGTAGTCTAAACGTATTTTCAACATTGTAGTGTGTCATATATCCAACATTGTAGTGTGTCAAATATCCAACATTGTAGTGTATCATATATCCAACATTGTAGTGTGTCATTTATCCAAAATTGTAGTGTATTGTATATCCAACATTGTAGTGTGTCATATATCCAACATTGGTGTGTGTCAAATATCCAACATTGTAGAGTTTTGTGTATCCAACATTGTTAATTGTAGTTTGTCGTATATCTAACATTGGTGCATTTCGATTTTTCTTCCAGTGTGGTTTGGAACAGACGCTGACGAGAACATCGTTGATGCTGTGATGTTGAATGTTAGCCGCATAGGCCATGCTTACTCCTTGCCAAAATACGCGAAGACTATGGACATTATCAAGGACAAAATGATAGGCATTGAGGTCAACCCTATCTCCAATCAGGTAACAGATTAATTCACAGCGATGTTTGCTGCTCTTCTTTGGGTACGATTGTCTTGCACAAAAGTAAGTTCGGGAGGTAAGGTTTCTTTTACCCCACCAGAACATCCCACACCCGGTAACACAGAGTGTCACCATGCGGATAAGGATCACCTGTGGAGAGGTCTTGGAAACCCCGTTCAGCGTTAGGAAATATTAAGGTCCCCGGCAACAGGCAGAGTGGGGCTTCAAACTAATTTTAAAAAAATATTGCATCCCACAAGGAGGCCATTTATATGATGACTTTTTCGGAAAGTCCAGTCAAGGGTTTTTTTAATAATTTATTATCGTTCACTGTTAATTTAAATAAAAATATGCATTCACTTTTATCATAGAAGTTACAAATTAATCAATTTATATCAAGGTTAACAAGAAGTATAGGCTTCCGATCAATGTGGAGGTTAGGCATGTAGGCTTGTCGCTTTTGACAATAGTTTGGTAATTGCATGTAATGATGCTATAAGTAGGTATAACGTAAGGAGTTTGACTGATTCACAGAACTGGGGAAGTTCCTAGAGTGAGAGACATGAAGTTGACGTGAGAATGCAAAACACGAGATTCTCGAGCTTACGTGACAACACGAGGTCTGGGGGAATAGGTGACTGGAAAGTCATTCTGTGGCAGGCAGTGTTGCCACTTTTGATGTTTTACATCCAGATTTAGATGTTTTCCCTTGCATTTAGATGGCGTTTTTGACGTTTAGATGATAGACGTCTTTCTAGATGTTTTTCATTTGGAGTGAATTTATCGAATCTAACCTAAGAAACAGGATGAAATTTGACCTCCTAAATGCTATCTTGACAATAAAATTCGACCTGATAAGAGTAGGAAAAGGCTGTTCCACTTATCAGCTCCCTGATTGAGTATTAAAAGAAATTGTAACAGCTAAAGCATACCAGTCATTTTGGATCTGAAGCTTCAACTTAATCATCCAAGCTAAGTTTATCCTGTGGATCTTGTAAGGCAGACTTCAGTAAAGATGAGGACATGACTCTATAGGATAAGTCCTATTAATTGCTATGTAATTTGTGACTCTTTCCATTTGGATCTTTTTTTCTAAATGTTTTCCATGCTAATTTAGATATTTTTAGATTTTTTAAACTCTGTTTTGGATGTTTTTTGTCAAAGAAAAGTGGAAACACTGGTGACAGGACCCCACAGAGATCGGAGTGAAAGTGGATCCTGAGTGAAAGAAAGTGAATGTTGATCCTGAATGACAAGGAGTGAATGTTGTGGAGTGGATGTAGCAGAAGTACAGCTGAGGACAATGGGAGTGTCATACTGACTGTTGATCGTGCCGATTGTGTGTATGTCCGTGTCGACCGTGACGTGGCTGTATACCTAAAGTGCGAGCAAGTGGACCTTGTCGAGACAGCGTAAGTGTTAGGCTGTGATATTGATTCTTGTTGCTTATATACTGCTGTGAATAAATATAGAACTGCAGTAACCTATGTCGACTGGAGCCGTGTGAGAGTTTGTGGGAAGAGAAGTCTGCCTTGTCTAACCTGTAACCTGTGAGTCTGACCCTAGACAACAGCCTTCGTCGAGTGTGAATGAGCGAGGGCTAGTATAAAAAAAAAGAGACTCATAATATTGCATTTTCCTCCACATGCAGTCTGAAAGTATATAGTTCCGTCACCCTTCTACTGAGTTTAGTGTGTGATGCGACACTGAGAAACTTGAGCGTTTCGGCTGTGCCCAACGTGGTTTGCTTCTTGGACTGCAGATTCATAAATTGACAAGGGGCCTGTTGTCACAGAACTGGTATTGCCTTGTATGGTTAGTCGCCTGTGCTGCTACTGATCTCTTCTAACTGCTGATTTAATAGATAGTAAACTGCATTTCTAGTGTCGGTTTGTTTGTGCCGGCACTTCTAACGGCTGCCTCCTTAATTTAATGCATGTGTATACTCAAAGTCCCAAAACAGAGATACAAATATAGGCAGTAATTGCAGTTTTTTTTTTTCCCTGGTAAGTTATTTGATTTGCCAAAGCTGCAGTTTGTGAAACTTTTCCACAAATGACAGCGAAGGACATTATGTGTGGTTTTCGTTGGCACAGAAATGCGGCATCTATGAGGTGACCCATTTTCTATGAACTTGGAAGTCGGATTAAAATATTATCTGAAACAATAGTCTTACGTAAAGTTATTCTGGGCATAAGGAACAAATTAATCAATCTCAGTCATTCACTGAGACAAATTAATAATTGAAGATCATTCACTATTAATTATAGAAGGGGCACATTATTCATTAAAAGCATGATTAGACGGGAGCATAACATTGGGAGCCAGAGGATGCTGTAAGGATAAAGTCGTCGTACATACATTTACAAAACTTTAAAAAAAAACGGAAGCGAGAGGAAGGATAGGATTAAGATGAGAAGAAAATGAAGTAGAAAACAAAGCAACGGCTTCTGCAGTACTAGTAAGTTTGATGGTAGTAGAAGAAGTATTTGTAGTGGTGGTAGTAGTAGTAGTAGTGGTGGTGATAGTAGTAATAGAAGTAGTAGTAGTTGTAGTAATTGTGGTGGTAGTAGGAGTTGTGGTGGTAATAGTAGTGGTAGTAGTAGAAGTTGTAGTAGTGGTGGTAGTAATAGTTGTGGCGGTGGTGGTAGTAGTAGCAGTAGTAGAGTAGTAGTAGTACTTGTGGTGTTGGTGGTGGTAGTACTAGTGGTAGTGGTAATAGTAAAAGAAGTAGTAGAAGTAGTGGTTGTAGTAGTGGTGGTTGTAGGAGCTGTGGTGGTAGTAGTAGTAGTAGTGGTAGTATTAGAAGTAGTAGTAGTGGGGATAGTAGTTGTGGTGGTGGTAGTAGTAGTAGTGGTAGTGGTGGTGGTGGTAGTATGAGTGGTAGTAGTGGTGGTGGTAGTAGTAGGAGTGGTGGTGTTGGTGTCAGTAGTAGAAGTAGTAGTAGTAGTAGTGTTTAGTAGTGCTGGTGGTAGTAGCAGAAGTGGTAATCGTAGTAATAATAGTAGTAGTATTAGTAATTTTAGTAGTAGTTATGTTGTTAGAGACGTAGTAGTGGTACTAGTAGCAGCAGCAGTAGTAGTAGTAATGGCAGCACCAGTAGTAGTAGTAGTGGTGGTGGCAGCAGGAATAATAATAGAGGATGATGATGAGAAAAAGAAAAGGAAGAAGAAGAAGAAGACATAAGAAGAATAAGAAGAAAGAAGAAGCAGAAAAAATAGAAAGAAGAAGGAGGAGGAGGAGTAGAATGAGAACAAGAAGATATAGTAGTAGTATTGGTGGTAGTAGTCAAATAAATGTGTAGTAGCAGCAGCGATAGTACTGGTAGTTGAAACAGTAGCAGTAAGGAAGATCGCTGTCATTGTTGTAATGTATTTAGTATTAGTATTAGAAGGTAAAGTAAGAATGCAGAGCGGCATATGCTTCAAGAAAATTGTGCCAGTGGAAAAAGGACTGGCGAAGACTGGTAAAGAAGCAAGCCCTTAAGATATCTACCCTATGCTGACAACAGACACTAGGAAGTAAACTAAGGGCGCTGCCACAACGAATTCCTTGAGTTAGTGAGGGGGGGGGGGGGGGTCTTGCAGCCACCTAAACATTTTCTAGTTACCAGTGAGGTACCTTTTTGACTTCCCTACCATGAACTACAGGATTAAGATCTGGAGGGCCCGTGCATACCTCAAGATAAGCTCAGACCTGAAGCACTCTTTGCACCACATGCTCTTCAGGAAGAAAGGCAATAGGCTTAAAAGGGGCAAATCATGGCTGGGTAGGGAAGAGGATGACATCATGCAGATATACACTCAGGTGAGGAATGGATACCAGCATCTAAAGCGCCCAAGCTCACGTTCTCCTGTGTCGTGACGCTCGATAGGAGTTGTAGGGAGCAGAATTCAGCTGCTGTTAATGCCGAGGTATGCGCGCTTATCAGTGACAAGTCAGATGAGACAGACGTGTTGATCTTCACAGACGAGGGCGGTGCTCAGGGTGCCCCGCCTTCAGGTTCCGGAACCTTTGCCACACACTAATCCCTGCCCCAATGTCTCCGCAGGTTATGGGCCTAGTCCAGGACTTGAGAAACCACGCAATCATCCCAGTGCTGACCGTGGACACCCCGATTTTGATCAGTTCTGACTACCCCGCCGCCTGGGAAGCCTTGCCGCTCTCACACGACCTCTACGTGTCCTTCATGGCGCTGAGCTCAAAGAATTCCGGATTGCGTTATCTTAAAGAGATGATCACTCATTCGATTGAGTTAGTATTTTTTGTAATCTCTTCAAAACTAGTAAAGTTAGGCACAGGATCCTTCTCCACGCATTCAGGCGTATTGGGTACATAGGGCTTACACCTATATATTATAGGCCAGTCGGTTCTGATGTTGTTCAGCAACACACCGGTTGCATGTTTTAGTATCCAGAGGCCACGAGTTAACCCTAGTGGCTCGGTATTATGGATATCGCAACCTTTCGGCCTTGATTCCATTGTAAATAGCGTAAATCTGGGAGAAATGTAGCTTTTCTGCCTACCCCCGGGATTGAACACGGACCACAAGGAGTTCGTCACCTGGTCTCCACACAATCCGGTTTAGCCAACTACGCTAGAGAGCCGGGCCACCGGTCGCATTTACTTCCCTGATACCCATATATATGGTACCCTTATAAGTCTGGGTCGACCTGGCAGCCCATGTCATTTATGAAAAAGGTGTAGTACCGTCAGAAATTGAACCCAGGATCTTCGGATCCACTAGCCAGAGTCTAACCGTCACACCACTGCAGGGGTCCCCTTTCCATACTATACTGTTAACACCGCATTTTAATTGGATGGCACGTTTTTATTAGGCGACGGGAAAGCCCCTAACTCCTAAATGCTGTCAATGACCCAGATTCAAAAGAACTTTTTAACTGACTGGTTGATCCCTATGGTATTCTTTTGTGCAGTTTAACAATTTCACTCATTAAATTACAAAGAGACAAGAAAGAAAATTCTTTAAAGCTTTATAAATCCTATCTTGATATACAGAAGTGAATCATGGACAGGTGGTAAATTTGTGAAAACTTGTTTGAAAGCTGCAGAAATGTGGTTTTTATGTTTGTTTGTTTTGTTCTATTATCCAGAAGCCATGAGTTGTTAACCCTTAGGCTCGGTATTATGGATATCGCAACCTTTCGGCCTTGATTCCATTGTAAATTGAACTTCAGATCGGGAAACAAACGGCGTAGCCATAATATAGGATATAATTATCAACTGAGATCACAAGTGTGAAGCTTGGGAGAAAATTAAACTAATTCCAGTCAATCAAGAGGTAGAAGAAAACAGTAACGCAGCTAAATCTAATTTTTTCGAGTTCCGGCCCTTGGAATTCCCGGGCTATTTATTTTTGGGCCACACGTGTCTTTTCCTTCCACTGGCAAGACATCAACGTGACTGCCTTGGGATACGTCAGTTAAATGACTTGTGTATTCGTGTGATTTTTGTTTGATTTATGTATGTGCTGATGAAGGCTTTGCAGCCACAACGTTTGCTTTTCTTTTGTGCGTGTTATAATGTGAAGCTCGTTGATCTACTTTTACTTCAGCTTGATATCTTTCCACAAGAGAAAACCCGAAGACAATGCAACTATAATGTCTCTCCATTGGAACACACTGGGACATATAAATAAAGGCATATTAACCAGCACATCGAGAGGGAAGCTAGAGAGTAAAATTAAAAAGACGGAGCGAGCACTGGGTGAGCTGCATGCAATAGCAAAGGATACGACGACTTAGTTGAGGGCTTCTGCTGTGGGGAAAGGGAATAATAATAATAATAATAATAATAATAATAATAATAATAATAATAATAATAATAATAATCTGGTGCCTCTCCGCTGGAGGGTCTTTGGTTCGAAATGGGATCGAGGCAGATTGTTTTCAAAATTGAGGCGAACCCACTCTAAAATGTTTACCAATTAATGTCATAGGAAGTAAGAGGCGAGATTTAGACACAGTTCTACACCAAGTGCTGCTAATTCGTTAATATCATCATATAACCACACTCCTGACAGGCCACTAACGTTAAAAGGGTGAACAAATACAATTCGGTGGCATATTGATTGGTTGCTGCTGAAATGTGATTTTACAGACGAAACGTTAAAAAGCCCTGAACAGAGATAAAAAGCAAATAATATAATATTCCTTACGTCTTCTTAGGACGTAATTTTTTGTTATTTGAAGCCCCACTCTGGCTTTTGCCAGGGGCCGCAATATAGGCAGGCCATCAATATGGCCAATTGTCTGAACGCGGTTTCTGGGACCTCTCCACGGTGATCCTTATCCGCATGGTGGCACTTTGTGTCATCGGGTGTATATCGCTTGTGTGATGTCCTGGTGGGGTAGAAAGTCAGTCAGATAAAAAGCAATGAAGATGTCTTGGGGGAAAAAATGACTTACTGACTCTTGCTCACAACAAAATGAAGCAATCTACATTCTTTGGTCCTGTGACGGGAATGAGAAAACTGCTGTATATAGTCCCAGTGGGAAAGTTGGGTTGTCAAGAAGGTGTTTCGGATTCAACCCCACGCAGAGACAAAATATTTTTACAGAGTAGTACGGATTTGGACACGACGCTTGTGATGAAACTGCCTACAGAACTCTCTCTCTCACAAATGTTGTCAAAGTTCAGCATAGTTTCCTTTTGTGACGACAAAAGGTAGAAGAACAGAGTAGCACAGTTTAATTTAAATTTTTCGAGTTACGGCCCTTGGAATTCCCGGGCTATTTAATTTTGGGCCACACGTGTCTTTTCATTCCACTGGCAAGACATCAACGTGACTGCTTTGGGATACGTCAGTTAAATGACTTGTGTGTATTCGTGTGATTTTTGTTTGATTTATGTATGTGCTGATGAAGGCTTTGTAGCCACAACGTTTGCTTTTTTTGTGCGTGTTATAATGTGAAGCTCGCTGATCTACTTTTACTTCAGCTTGATATCTTTCCATAAAAGAAAACCTGGGGACAATGCAACTATAATGTCTCTCCATTGGAACACACTGGGACATATAAATAAAGGCATATTAACCAGCACATCGAGAGGGAAGCTAGAGAGTAAAATTAAAAAGACGGAGCGAGCACTGGGTGAGCTGCATGCAATAGCAAAGGATACGACGACTTAGTTGAGGGCTTCTGCTGTGGGAAAAGGGAATAATAATAATAATAATAATAATAATAATAATAATAATAATCTGGTGCCTCTCCGCTGGAGGGTCTTTGGTTCGAAATGGGATCGAGGCAGATTATTTTCAAAATTGAGGCGAACCCACTCTAAAATGTTTACCAATTAATGTCATAGGAAGTAAGAGGCGAGATTTAGACACAGTTCTACACCAAGTGCTGCTAATTCGTTAATATCATCATATAACCATACTCCTGACAGGCCACTAACGTTAAAAGGGTGAACAAATACAATTCGGTGGCATATTGATTGGTTGCTGCGGAAATGTGATTTTACAGACGAAACGTTAAAAAGCACTGAACAGAGATAAAAAGCAAATAATATAATATTCCTTACGTCTTCTTAGGACGTAATTTTTTGTTATTTGAAGCCCCACTCTGGCTTTTGCCAGGGGCCGCAATATAGGCAGGCCATCAATATGGCCAATTGTCTGAACGCGGTTTCTGGGACCTCTCCACGGTGATCCTTATCCGCATGGTGGCACTTTGTGTCATCGGGTGTATATCGCTTGTGTGATGTCCTGGTGGGGTAGAAAGTCAGTCAGATAAAAAGCAATGAAGATGTCTTGGGGGAAAAAATGACTTACTGACTCTTGCTCACAACAAAATGAAGCAATCTACATTCTTTGGTCCTGTGACGGGAATGAGAAAACTGCTGTATATAGTCCCAGTAGGAAAGTTGGGTTGTCAAGAAGGTGTTTCGGATTCAACCCCACGCAGAGACAAAATATTTTTACAGAATAGTACGGATTTGGACACGACGCTTGTGATGAAACTGCCTACAGAACTCTCTTTCTCACAAATGTTGTCAAAGTTCAGCATAGTTTCCTTTAATAATGATAATAATATGTAGAAATGAAAAGAATGAAGCGGTTGAGGGTTGTGATGGAGACTATAGTTTGACTGAGGGTTGTGATGGAGACTATAGTTTGGCTGAGGGTTGTGATGGAGACTATAGTTTGGCTGAGGGTTGTGATGGAGACTATAGTTTGACTGAGGGTTGTGATGGAGACTATAGTTTGGTTGAGGGTTGTGATGGAGACTATAGTTTGGCTGAGGGTTGTGATGGAGACTATAGTTTGGCTGAGGGTTGTGATGGAGACTATAGTTTGGCTGAGGGTTGTGATGGAGACTATAGTTTGGCTGAGGGTTGTGATGGAGACTATAGTTTGACTGAGGGTTGTGATGGAGACTATAGTTTGGTTGAGGGTTGTGATGGAGACTATAGTTTGGCTGAGGGTTGTGATGGAGACTATAGTTTGGCTGATGGTTGTGATGGAGACTATAGTTTGGCTGAGGGTTGTGATGGAGACTATAGTTTGGCTGAGGGTTGTGATGGAGACTATAGTTTGGCTGAGGGTTGTGATGGAGACTATAGTTTGGTTGAGGGTTGTGATGGAGACTAAAGTTTGGCTGAGGGTTGTGATGGAGACTATAGTTTGGCTGAGGGTTGTGATGGAGACTATAGTTTGGCTGAGGGTTGTGATGGAGACTATAGTTTGACTGAGGGTTGTGATGGAGACAATAGTTTGGCTGAGGGTTGTGATGGAGACTATAGTTTGGCTGAGGGTTGTGATAGAGACTATAGTTTGGCTGATGGTTGTGATGGAGACTATAGTTTTGGTGATGGTTGTGATGGAGACTATAGTTTGGCTGATGGTTGTGATGGAGATTATAGTTTGGCTGATGGTTGTGATGGAGACTATAGTTTGGCTGATGGTTGTGATGGAGACTATAGTTTGGCTGATGGTTGTGATGGAGACTATAGTTTGGCTGAGGGTTGTGATATAGGCAGATATGAATAAATGGTGTAACTGAAACCTGCAAAAATATGAACAAATCTATCACGCAAGCCACCCGAGAAGCGCAAGACAAATACAGGAAACCACAACACTGGGGTACTAGCTGGCATCAGTGAGACGAAAATACCACGACACTGGGCTACAACCTGATATCAGTGAGACGACAAAACCACGATACTGGGCTACAACCTGGTATCAGTAAGACGACAAAACCACACTACTGGGCTACAACCTGGTATCAGTGAGACGACAAAACCACAATACTGGGCAACAACCTTGTATTAGTGAGAAGAAAAAACTGGGCTACAACATGGTATCAGTGAAACGACAAAACCACGATACTGGGCTACAACCTGGTATCAGTGAGACGACAAAACCACGCCCCTGGGCTATAAACTCTAATCACTGAGACGACAAAACCACGACACTGGGCTACAGCCTGGTATCAGTGAGACGACAAAGCCACGATACTGGGCTACAACCTGGTATCAGTGAGGCAGCAAAACCACGACACTGGTATCAGTGAAACGACAAAACCACGATACTGGGCTACAACCTGGTATCAGTGAGACGACAAAACCACGCCCCTGGGCTACAACCTGGTATCATTGAGACGACAAAACCACGATACTAGGCTACAACCTGGTATCAGTGAGACGACAAAACCACGATACTGGGCTACAACCTGATATCAGTGAGACGACAAAACCACGATACTGGGCTACAACATGGTATCACTGAAACGACAAAACCACGATACTCGGCTACAACCTGGTATCAATGAGACGACAAAACCACGCCCCTGGGCTATAACCTCTAATCACTGAAACGAAAAAACCACGACACTAGGCTACAGCCTGGTATCAGTGAGACGACAAAACTATGATACTGGGCTACAACCTGGTATCAGTGAGGCAGCAAAACCACGACACTGGTATCAGTGAAACGACAAAACCACGATACTGGGCTACAACCTGGTTTCAGTGAGACGACAAAACCACGCCCCTGGGCTACAACCTGGTATCAGTGAGACGACAAAACAACGATACTGGGCTACAACCTGGTATTAGTGAGACGACAAAACCACGATACTAGGCTACAACCTGGTATCAGTGAGACGACAAAACCACGATACTGGGCTACAACCAGGTGTCAGTAAGACGACAAAACCACGACACTAAGCTACAAACTGGTATCAGTGAGATGACAAAACCACGACACTAGGCTACAACCTGGTATCAGTGAGATGACAAAACCACGACACTAGGCTACAACCTAGTATCAGTGAGACGGCAAAACCACGACACTGGGCTACAACATGGTATCAGTGAAACGACAAAACCACGATACTGGGCTACAACCTGGTATCAGTGAGACGACTAAACCACGCCCCTGGACTATAACCTCTAATCACTGAGACGACTAAACCACGACACTGGGCTACAGCCTAGTATCAGTGAGATGACAAAACCACAACACTAGGCTACAACCTGGTATCAGTGAGGTAGCAAAACCACGAAACTGGTTTCAGTGAAACGACAAAACCACGATACTGGGCTACAACCTGGTATCAGCGAGACGACAAAACCACGACACTGGGCTACAACTTGGTATCAGTGAGACGACAAAACCACGACACTAGGCTACAACCTGGTATCAGTGAGACGAGAAAACCACGACACTGGTTTCAGTGAAACGACAAAACCACGATACTGGGCTACAACCTGGTATCAGCGAGACGACAAAACCACGACACTAGGCTACAACTTGGTATCAGTGAGACGACAAAACCACGACACTAGGCTACAACCTGGTATCAGTGAGACGAGAAAACCACGACACTAAGCTTCAACCTGGTATCAGTGAGATCACAAAACCATGATACTGGGCTACAACCTGGTATCAGTGAAACGACAAAACCACAACTCTGGGCTACAGCCTGGTATCAGTGAAACGTCAAAATCACGACACTAGGCTACAACCTGGTATCGATAGGACGACTAAATAAATAAAAAATTAGTTGACAGAGCTGAGGATGGTATCGATAGCTTTGATGACGACGACGATGATGATCATATTTATTATAAAGGTGATGTTAATAATGATGACTATGATGTTCTATGTGCAATTTAGTGCTTATTAAAATGATAATGATTCACTTCTATGTGCAGATATAGTGCTTATTAAAATGATAATGATGATGTTCTATGTGCAGATTTAGTGCTTATTAAAATGATAATGCATGATGATCTATGTCCCAGAATATAGTGCTAATTAAAATGTCTACATGATGATGTTCTATGTCCAGATATAGTGCTAAAAAAAATGATAATGATGATGTTCTATATCCAGATTTAGTGCTAATTAAAATGATCATGATGATGTTCTATGTCCAGATATAGTGCTAATTAAAATGATCATGATAATGTTCTATGTCCAGATATAGTGCTAATTAAAATGATCATGATGATGTTCTATGTCCAGATTTAGTGCTAATTAAAATGATCATGATGATGATCTATGTCCAGATATAGTGCTAATTAAAATGATCATGATGATGTTCTATGTGCAGATATAGTGCTAATAAAAATGATCATGATGATGATCTATGTCCAGATATAGTGCTAATTAAAATGATCATGATGATGTTCTATGTCCAGATATAGTGCTAATTAAAATGATCATGATGATGTTCTATGTCCAGATATAGTGCTAATTAAAATGATCATGATGATGTTCTATGTCCAGATATAGTGCTAATTAAAATGATCATGATGATGTTCTATGTCCAGATTTAGTGCTAATTAAAATGATCATGATGATGTTCTATGTCCAGATTTAGTGCTAATTAAAATGATCATGATGATGTTCTATGTGCAGATATAGTGCTATGAGTGGCGAAGAAGGTGCAATTCTGTTACTAATATGGCATCAAGAATGGGAACAGTTCATCACGACGATCATCGACGAGTACGGTCTGACTACGGAGTCTTTTGAAGGTTGTCCTTTAATTTCTCAGTCCCGGGAAATAAAGACGGTCAGCGTGATGTTGACAAAATTAGCTACCAAGTGGTGATCGGTTTTTACACATTTAAGTCTAGCAATGAATGGCTAATAAACCGCCCCCCCCCCCCCCCCCCACTTCTCCCCCCCCCCCCCGCTCCAAAAAGGGGATCTTTAGAAATGTCTTATACATTACCGAGAGAAGAAATCGAGAAATTACATCACTGTGCTTAGGACAACCCCGTACGTGCGATATGCCCTTCTTCAGCAGCCCACAAAGAGTTGTCAGACTTATGGTGCTGGTTGCAGCCCGATTAGAGTCCACATGTGTTTACCTCTCTTGGCGCTAAAAGTTGTCCAGATCCTATACTCATTCCCAACTGAACCAGTCTCTCCGGACGTGGGTACTAGGTCGCCTTTGTTGCACTGTGTACTTTCTCCCAAAGAGCCTTCACCACGTTTGATTTGTCCACAAAAATCTCGGCGCTCAGAGGATAAGCAGCATCTAGTCTGTCAGGGCATTATCTGTGTTCCCGAATGTGCGAGGGGCAGGGAAGGGGGAGGGAGGGGGCACATTTTATGATCAGTGTTGCAAGATTGGAAAGCCAAAAAGCAAAATTCACACTTTTGCAAATCCCCTTAATATTTCTACAAATCACATTAACCTTTTTGAAGTTAAATTCACTTGTTCGCAAACCAAACTCATTCTTTTAGCAGACTAATTCACCCTTTCGCAAATCAGACTCTTCTGCAAAAACACCTCTTGATCTATCGTACTAAAAATGGAATAAAAACATCTTTAAAAAAAGATTACTAGAGTGCTAAGTAGAGGGAAGAGGACAAGAGGCAGATCAAGAAAAACCTAGTCACAGAAGGCCGTTCGTTCCGCTGACGACAAGTAATGTGTCATCTAGTTTAAATAGTGAGAGGTGCCGGGTTACGTATGCAGTTTGGGCCATATAGCGAACGAAATTATGTTTTACACTAGAAAAATTGATTTATGGCCAGTGAAGTAAAGAGACAAGTTTATATGGATTACTGCTTATCTCAGAAACGCATATTGAGGTGGTATTCACTAAAATTATAGGTGTAGGCGGGACGTCTAATTTATAATCGAAATTATGAACGTATTGCCAAAGCTAGAGAATGGATAAACAAAGATGACGGTGATATCTTTTCTTCATCTCCTGATTCACTGGAATTTTGTTTAGTTCTCTTCCGAATATTTACATATGTGATTCTGTCATGCATTTTATTCCCCTCATTCAGTGCGATCATCAGACTTTGACAATCACCCTTCCATATTCGGTTAAGTATTCAATTGCAGAGGGTAGTCTGTGGCTTAGGCATTGCGAGTCTGACTAGTATTTCGAGGTACCGCGTTCGAAACCCACTGCTGGCTGCGTGGATTTTAATCATTGTATGGGACGTCGCAGGTCGACCTAGCCTAAAATGGGTACCAGGGTGTATGTCCTGTGGAAGCAAAGACGGCCGGCGTAATGCTGTCCACATTACCCACCTAGTGCCGATTCTTCTTCTTCTTCAGCATTCCGAACACTTGAGGTTCATTGCTGCAGATATCACCCGCCTCCATTCATCTC